AGTTAAGCTCAGCAGCAACACTGCAGAGCATGACATCTATTAACAGCCACATCCAAACAATAATGATCCAAAGTGGACAAGATATGAAGCAACCCGATGCAACTCCAAAGTCAGACTGCGTTACAGCGTTCAGACAAAAACAGTTAAAACCCGCAGCATTGTTAAACTGGAGAGAAACATTACAGGAAAACAATCAGTTATGACCAATCACTTCAGATAAACCAGTAATGCTTACAGTTATAAGAGGATGATGTAATTTCCTTTACTCAGTGTTTACAGCAACCAGCTGTGTAAGGAAATGAAAGTGACAAAACATCTGGGATAAAGATAGAGTTGTTATCCTGACTTTAACTCTTTACTTTTTGTTATTGTTTTTAAGTATACTCCTTTTTAATTGGGTGCTATACTTTATGGGTTTTTTTTACCACATAATATCGGTTTCCCATACCTTCCTTATATCCACTTCTTTTATTTATGCGATTTAAGAATCCTTGTGCTTAAAGAAACATCAGTTAATTTGAGATTATAGTTTATGATTTTTATATATGATACAGATAAAGTAACAGGGTGTCCAGGTGGAGCAGCGGTTAGCGTGCACGGCCCATTTACGGAGGGCTTAGTCCTTTGGAAAAAATTAGCCACTAGTGCTGTAAAAAAACAAAAAAAAAAAAAAAGTTCAGTGTTTATAAATCAGTAGAAGTATTCTTTTGGTTCTGATCATTTGGCTCCAATAAAATGTAACAGATTATGACTCAGTGGCCTTCTGCTAGGGCTGGGCGATACATTTTCTGCTTGTGATGTTTTCATTTTTGCAAAATCTGGAATCTTGCCTCCCACGCTGGAAAAAAAATCAAAATCTATGAGTAATTTTATCTAAAAATAAGTGCATTTGTTCTTGGATTGAGGAGGTAAAAGAGACATTTTGCCAAATGAACGAGACAATTTACACTAAAAAGAAGAAAATACAATTGCAATGTCGTATTTAAAGTACATATTTTCTAATTATTTTAACCCTATAATGCCAAATGTATCATATTTGATACATACAGTTTCTGAAATGTTTTGGGTCTGACACCTTTTGCATGATTTAATGGTAAAAACTTTGCTTAAAATCCTATTGTACACAATCAGATATACCTGATAACAGCCAGTAGAAGACTACACAAAAAATAATCTTGACTTATCGCATAGTGATAAATTATTAATATCAAAAATGTATTTCTGTTTTTTTCTTTTTACATATTTTGTTAAAAGAGCAAATAAGGACTTCAAACCAAAAAAAAGTAATTTTCTGTTTTGTTTTATTCTTGGATCGGGCTTTAAAGGGTTAATTTAAGAGTAAAAATACTAATTAAATTGGCAAAATATCTCATTTACCTACTCAAATTAAGGACAAATACACTTAATTTAAGATATATTTACTAACTTCTAGATCGTTTTTCCAGTGTAGTCCATCCGTAGCTTAGAGTTACATCAGTTCGTTAGTTGGTCTTCTTTGCTGTGTACTTTTAACTCGTTAAACGAAATGTCTGAGATCACAAGCAGATAACATTTAGCATGCCATATTTTTATTGTTTGTTTTGAAACCTGATTATTATTATACAAGCATGTTGCACAGCTTGAAGTTAGTTACCCTTTAAATTACGGTGTTCTCCCAAAGGAGATGATTGAAATCAAAGCTTGTTTTAAAAGCATTATTTGTGATTTGTTAATCTTAATATACAACCTAAGAGAAAAAAATTAACACTTGCAATTTTATTTTGTAGGGTAAAAAAAAAAATTTAAATCAGAGATTAAATTGTTAAGCCTTATCACCCAGCCCTACCTCCTGATAAAAAAAAAAAAAATCTGATTTACTGGAATTCAGGTTTTTCAAAGCGACAAATATAAAGAATGTGTTAAGACACGTTTTAAAGGGCAGATTCAAAGTGTAATACTGTATTAATCTTTTAAATTATTTAAAAAAGTCAAAGGTAAGAGCCATAAATTAACAAATTAAGAACTAACTGAGGTAATTAAAAGCCTGTATTGAAAATCTACCTCAAATAAATACTTCTAATGCTCCCAAATCAAATGTTTATCTTAAAGACTTTTAAGAACTTTGTAGAAACCCTGGTGGAAACTATCCTAAATATAATAGTTTTATTTTATATTAGACTTTTTGGTGTAAATCCGTTGATATACATTATTGGTGATGTCTATATCAAAGTCCAAAACTATCAAAACTTTAAAAGAAAAGAGAAAAGAAGAGAGAGAAAAGAATATAATTTCACTATAACCACAAAACAGGCTTAAACTGGAAGGTAGCCGCACTTTGATCTGGCGTGAGCTGACAGATCTTACAAAGACTCCTTTGATGTCAAAAGTCTGGTTACTTTCCAATTTCAGCCTGTGTTTTTGGTTACCATGAACCAAATGACTGAGCATTTAGTTATTTTTTACACATAGAGCAAAACAGATCTTTCCCCCGAGCCGCCATCACAAAAAAACATTTCTTAGTTGATGAGCAGCTTGTGTCCATCAAGTCTTGGATTCATTTCTGTAAAATATATAACAGTAGAACAAAATTCTTCGATATTTAACCTGCAAGTTAAGCTAGCTGCAAGTGCTAAAGCTGCTAGTAGCTAGCATGGTCTCTGTTTATATATTGTACAAACAATATAAGAACTAATAAAAACATGCTACAATATTAAGGTAATTTAATGGAAATAAATGTTATAAAACAGAAATACAGCAGTAAAAGTCAGAATACTAGCAGCATTAGCATGAGCAAGCTCGTTAGCCTAACTTTTGATTTTTTTCTCGAAAAAAATTCAGTAGCTGCGTTTCTAAAATCTCAAATTGAAGCAATAATATTACAGTTCTGTTAACCAGTTGGAACTGCTGTTGTTTGTTTTTAGTAGTAATGCTAACTGCTAATGCAGGCCTGCAAATATTGCCCTCCAGGTATTCATGCAAAGTCTAGAGGAGCATGTATACAAACAGATGTTTTAATGTATTATGTGTGGATTTAACTTGATGAGATAAAAAAAAAAAAAAAATGTCAATGCCATCAATCTATTCCATCCTTTTTCCGCTAATCCAGGGTAAGGTCACGGGGGTAGCAGCTTCAGTATATATCTCCCGCTCCTTCTTCAAGTCAATTATTAGGTCCAATTTCCAAACTATTTAGAAATAGAATGGTCATATACAATTTTAGAGCTTAGTGGTAAAAGACAAAAATATTCTGACAGTCCAAGTCCAAACCTCGAGGGGTATTTCTTAAGACATTTAAAGTCGTAGGGAAGTCATATTTAAATTTCAAATCATACTGGCTTAAATATGTATACGAATGTACTCTTTATCAGATCATATAGTCCCAAAAGTTGGGGGGAAAAAAATCCCTTCTTAAAATCTGTGGTTTTCGTTATTTTATGCAGGCCAGGTAATTATACCTCACCTTGTACACCTAAACTCGGCGAATCGTATATCAAAGGTCATCTGTGAATACATTTTTTTAATTTCTGCTCGTTTTTTAGGCATGGTCTGCGCTATTCCACGTCACAACCTGGTTTCTGAGTATAAACCAGGCTTTTTCCTTTTTCCTTTAAAGTCGTAGGGAAGCGGCTGTTCCAACCGTTGCATTTCTGAATTCTCACGAGTGGTTCACGACTTTACACTAGTGGATAAAGTTAATGTGATTGGTCGATTATCAAGGGGGCGGGATTGTTGTAGCGGAAGGTTTGCAAGCAAGTTTGGTTGTGGCCGGTTTTTCGGAAGCATCTTGCTAACCAGTTAGCATCTTAGTGCTAGTAGGTTCCCAATGGGAAATCCCATTGGGACCAAGTAGCACTAAATTGGTGACTTAGAAACGACGCTGTCAAGGAACGCTACGGACAGCGGAAACATGCAAGAGGAGGAGAGTTTAGTGCCGGAGGTCGTGGATGAGTCTCCTCCGTCATCCATTTTTTATTTAGAGGAGGAAAGCGGGGACGAAGATGTTGTGGAAGAGGACGCCATGGCGACAGAAGCTTGGTTTGGTGTAGAAGGCTTCCAGCCGTACATGTTTGAGCCCTTGCCTCGCAACGCTGCCAGTTCTGTTAGCTCTACGCCTGCCGAAAACACAGACCTCCATCCCCGTGAACACTGGGACGCAACTCAATGGGAAAGGAAATTATTCTGATTTCAACCATTGCGTATATTGGCTGCGACATATGAATCAAGATGCTATGACCGAAAAAATTTGATTGACAGATGACCGTTAATATATGATTGGCTGAATTTAGGTGTTCAGACTGATGTATAACTAACTGGCCTGAATAAGATAATGAAAAAAAAAACCCACAGATTTTATATACAGTCTCATACAGAGTACATTTATTAACATATTTTAGCCAGAATGATTTGACATTTAAATATGATTTCCCTATGACTTTAAACCCAAAACTCAAACATGTTGAGCAGGGAGAGCATTTAAAATAAAGCTGCCTGTATTATGGTGCATTCCCTTTGCATTCGGAAGTTTGCGTCGAGTTCCTAGGTGGACATTCCACAAGAATGTCCCTGAAGTTGGAATTTCAACCGAGAAATATCGAGGTTCCGGAGCAGCCATAAGATCAGAATCCCAAATGGCCTCTTTGCATATGTAGGCCACTGAAAGTAGCCAAAATGAAATGTTTCTTAGCAATTCTGGTTTACCTTTGTGTCATTGGTTTACCTTTAAACCAATGACACACAGAACACTTTAAAACATCTGTGACAAAGCCCCTCTGTCTTAGAATGAAACTGTTGAGAATTATTTTCATTTCTTCCCGCTAGTAGGAGTTAGTAATAAAATAAGCAAAACCTAATGAGTTGATTTTGTAACCAGAAATCGCTCTACTCCATAGTGACAGCATTCAAAGGTATGAGCTCAAACCCCTAAGACACAATCAAACACGCCATAATGCCACTAGTCAACATTTACATAAGGGTCCCACACGTTTATTAAATGGATTTTAAAAAGTAAGAACCACTGGATGTTTAATTGCCTCATAATAACTGCCTCATAAGGTTTATTGGAGAAAACGTTTGGGTGAACAGAGAAATCATCAGTAAAAACCCAACTTGGACCATCTGGTATTGCTATGAACCCAAGTAGGTCCCCTATGGGATGCCCATTTGGTCCACTTAGAACTCACTGACCCTAACCAGAACCGTATTGGGCCCACATACACATGCTGGCTGGGCCTAAGATTTTAGAGGATTTAAAACACTCCTGGCTTACATCTACTATTTGCATCCGTTCATTTCAGAGAGGTAACCCCTGCATTGTTTTCTCAGAGGAAGATCGTTCATTAAAACCCTACAACTCTTCAGTGGTTACAGGCTGGAAAATATGCCGACATAATGTCCAAGTGAAGCTAACAGTGAGTGTAGATGAATGTGACGAAACGAGAAGGGTTTTAATCAGTGAGTTTGCAACATGGTCCATTAGCTGAGTAGTTCAAGGTAGGTCACGGGTACTTTGCCTTTCTCGTTCCCCCGTTCTCCAACCAGCCAGTCTGGATCCATTCCTGGTACGGTGTACACAGTGATTACCTGGAGAAAGGACAACAACAGGAAATGTTATGTTAAACATGGAGACTGTTGCGGTGAGTATACACAGCCTTCAGAGTGTCGTACTGAGGTTGTCGCAGGCAAGACGCAGATATTTTTGGTTTATGCCCGATTTTTATAGCCTCGGGAGACCATCCTGATCTTGCGAGCTTTCAAGGTTTCACTCGCAGATCAGTCTGGCTACTCTCCGTTAAAGAAAATTTGGAGCCTTTCACCAAACGAACGTCCAATCAGCGTTGGCTTTGAGGCGGGTTGAGTTGTGACGCAACGAGAAGCGCGACAGTTCAGTCTAAAGAACATGGCGGCTTCAGCTGATAAAACTAGCGTTAGCGTGGCTATCGAGCAATTTTTATCAGAATTACAGAGTATTTCTTCACTGAAAGAAGAGCAAAACACTGCTCTGGAGGCTTTTCTCAGAGGAAAAGATGTTTTTGCTCTTCTCCCGACTGGTTTCGGCAAGAGTAGCCTGGCTTGTGATTGTGTTTTCGTCGTCGCTCTGTTAGTACGTCATATGCTTCGTTGATCTGATTGGTTTATTTGGCCCGTCTATCACCAACATAGACCAATCAGCTAACCAGTATTTTAGCCCCTTCCCAAAATTACTTCAACGGAAGGTTTCCAGATGGATATGCGGAGCAAATCCATCTGGCGGAGTCAGGTTACGATTTTTTGGTCGGTGCTCTTTTATTCCACGCCACAACCTAGTTTCTGAGTATAAACCAGGCTTTAAACATTTACAACAAAACTTTTTTTAAAAATATTTCCTTTAAAGTTCCAACCGTTGCATTTCTGAATTCTCCCGAGTGGTGCACGATTTTACACAGGAGATAAAGTGAATGTGATTGGTCGTTTATGGAGAGGTCAGGAACGATGTGGCGGATGATTCACAAGCAAGTTAGATAGAGGCCGGTGTCTTAGAAGCATCTTGCTAACCAGTTAGCAACTTAGTGCTAGCAGGTTCCCAATGGGAAATTCCATTGGGACCAAGTAGCACTAAATTGGTGACTTAGAAACGACGCTGTCAAGAAACGCTATGGACAGAGGAAACATGCAAGAGGAGGAGAGTTTAGTGTCGGAGGTCGTGGATGGGTCTCCTCCATCATACATTTTTTATTTAGAGGAGGAAAGCGGGGACGAAGATGTTGTGGAAGAGGACGCCAGGGCGGCAGAAGCTTGGTTTGGTGTAGAAGGCTTCCAGCCGTACATGTTTGAGCCCTTGCCCCGCAACGCTGCCAGTTCTGTTAGCTCTACGCCTGCCGAAGACACAGACGTCCATCCCCGTGAACACTGGGACGGAATTCAAAGTTAAAGGAAACTATTCTTATTTCAACCGTTGCGTATATTAGCTGCGAAATATGAATCAAGATGCTATGACCGAAAAAATTTCATTGACAGATGACCGTTGATATATGATTGGCCGAATTTAGGTGTTCAGGCTGACGTAGAACTAACTGGTCTACATAAGATAAAGGAAAAGAAAACACATAGATTTTAAAATAAGATTATTTTTAAAAATAGAAAATTTTTTAAATTTTGGGACAATATCGTCTGATAAAGAGTAAATTTATTTACATGTTTAAGCCAGAATGATTTGACATTTAGCCCTGTGATGGATTGGCGACCTGTCCAGGGTGTGCCCTGCCTTTCCACCCATAGACAGCTGGAGATAGGCACCAGCACCCCTCGCGACCCTGCTTGGGATAAGCATGACGGAAAATGAATGGATTTGACATTTGAATATAATTTCCCTATGACTTTAAGAAAGCTTCCAAATAAAATAAGAAACCATGACAGCTCGGTGGTTCCATATTTAAAAGGCTCTATAGTTCACCAACATTGAAAGAAATTTGTTTCAAATCTTAATGGTCCCGATTCCTCCCATTATATATAGTAGTAACAATAAACAAACAAAAATCACGCATTTTAAAAGCTGCCAAATTCAGATAATGTGGCTTACATCACACCCAGGAAAGAGAGCATGACAGCAACACAAAACCATTTTTAAAGTGATGACGAACAAGAGGAGAGCAATATGGAATATGCTTCAGACCAATGTTTATATAGGCCTAGGGCCTCTTTTAGCAGATCCTTAAACTATACTTAGTGTGACGAATGACCGTACAGATTTATGCACCTCTACCGCCAGAAAATAAAAGTGGAAAAGGATCATGTTTGATTTTCCTACTTCACATCTGCTAGAAATAAAGCTCTACCCAGACCCTCTTCTGCAGAAGAGATGTGCAGTCAGGCAGCAGCTTTCAGCTGCTTTCCTGACAAAGCCAAAGGCCTCCACCCACAGGCGTAACTTTCTGAGGGAATGGTGTGGACATAATTGCACCAATTTTGGCCTGGTTTGGACAGTGCCCACCAATACTTCCCGCTTTTTTCCCCCTTTCTGCTCATTTACTTTAGCCAAAGATAACAGAGGTTGGGTGCTCTGATCGGTCACTTTCAAACATCTCATTCGCGGTCACATTTTACTGCGTACATAGTAACCATGTGGTTGGAGGAGAGACGCAAAGCATTACTCCAAATTAAGGTGTAGGTGCATAGGATAATAAAAAGGAAAAAAAAAACAGATTATAAGACAGGATTTTTTAAAAATAGAAATGTTCTAACTTTTGGGACAACATGGTCTGATAAAGAGTACATTTATATACATGCTTAAGCCAGAATGATTTGAAATTTAAATATGGCTTCCTTATCAGATCAGAATCAGAAATACTTTAATAATCCCAGAGGGAAATTACTTTTGTTACACGCTCCAGTTACAGTTTTATATAATATCTACACACATCCAACAACACAATATAATAAAGTTAAAAAAAGAATAAAAAAAGATAAAATATATACAGATATAGCTCTTCTGTGTGTATATATATATATATATATATATATATATATATATATATATATATATATATATTTATATATATATATATATATATTTATATATACGTATATCAGACATGTTCACAAGTCATTTTTTGCAAGTCCAAGTCAAGTCTCAAGTCCTGAGAAGGCCTGTCACAATTATCAAATAATCGCACAATAAATTCCAGTCACTCGATTAATTAAAATAAGTGTTATAATTTGCGTGCTTGCTTGTTTCTCCTTGTGTTTTTATCTCCGTCACCTAGACGGTATAGCGTAAAGGTCGCTATTATATCTATGGAATGATCATTATCTTGAACTGGTAAATGAAAAATACAATATGCAATTTTTTTTCCAGTTAAATTTTGCATTTTTTTTTTCTTTCAAAAACAACAATTTTCTTACAGTACTTACCTGACATTTGTAGTTACAACTTTTTCTAGTTTTAGGAGTATATGTCTGCTCTTTTATTTATAAGTGAAAATGAGGGCTGTGGGAAAAAAAACAATCACAATCCTGCTTTTTATTAATACATATGAAGTTAGCAACTACAACAGATAAAGAAAAACCCTAAATAAATACCAGGACAATATAAATTCTTTCATAAGAGAAACATTGTGGCAATAACTTTTTGTAACTTAATGCCCTTGAACAGACAGAACCGACTTGGCAGGCAGTATTTTAAATTCAATTCTGTTTATTTATTTAGTGCCAATTCACAACATTATTCACAACATATTTCTCCTCTACGACTACCATGAAGTTTTTAAAGCTTGGCTTGTTGATCATGCATGCATGCGCACGGGCGCGCGGGCATATATGTCACGTAGCGTTGCGTCAGTGACGTCAGTGCTACGTGACAGTTTGCCAGCCCCTCTGCCGTTTTTTATTTTATTTACCTCTGCTGTGTGCGGGTAAGGCGAGCGGCGATCAGTCCAGTTAGTTAAACAAAAAAACACTTTGAAATAAAATATTGTTCACGAGTCAGAAATCACGAGTCTCAGTCGAGTCTGAAGTCCTTCAAATGCAAGTCTAAGTCGAGTCTAAAGTCATTAAATATGCGACTTAAGTGCGACTCGAGTACGAGTCACAAATTCGAGTCCCCACCTCTGACGTATATCTATGCATATGTAAAAACTAAATCCAAATTAAGTGATAAATCCAAGTAAAGTGATAAATCCAATTAAAGTGATACTTGGTGAGCAAAAATAGTGCATAAATGTCAATTACGGGGGGGTGGGGGGGCTGAATTGACTTTGACTTTACAACCCAAAGATTTCAGAGAAATGAACCCAGCACCACAGCATCCCTGAGCCACTGCCATGCTTCCCTGCAGACAGGGTTGTTTTTTTCCTTCTTTGAGGTTCCTTCACCAGATTACTACTGAGCCACAGAAGGGGAGGTTCTGGCTTTCAAAAAAAAAAACCCTATGTGTTCTGAAAATAGCTGCGGGTGAACTGGAGTCGACTATTCTGGTACTCTTGGGTCAATCGTGGAGAACGTCACTGGAAACTAAAACTTCACTGGCTGCTGCCTAGAGAACGACCTGTCAGTCTCATATAAAGTCGTTTTCAGTGAAATAAGAGTTTCCAACAACATGCCTCCTCAGGAATCTGCCAACAACCACCAATAGCTCCTGTTCTGGCTAAAGCAAGTTTCTTTTTTTCTTTTTAGGAATTTTAATGAAAAAGAAATCCAGCTGGTTTAATCGGAGTATACAAGAAAGTGTTTTCCTACCATCACTTTGCTATTAAATACATATTTCCCTGATGGGTTTCCACTTTATATAAATTATTAATTTGAGGCACTGTGTGTATTCTCATAAAGATTTCTCGTTATGTAGCCGGTTGGACATAGTGTTGACTTTTCAATGAAACTATACCAGTTCTCCAAAAAATGATCTATTAGCGACTTTCTTCCAGTTTATTCCATTTGTCCAGAAGAATATTGAACTTTTATGATCTCTCATTGAAAAGATTTTTTGTTTCAAAATGTCAGACGTATTCTGGTATTTTAAATTGAAAAGATTCCTGCATCAGAAGCGAAACATCTTCAAACTTTGAAACAAACTTTTTTAACTTTTTTGGAGCAGGGACATCACATTTTGTGTGTCACTTTATGTGTCTGAGTCTGGTTTATCGGGAGAGATGGCAGATTAGGCAAAGCATCCGATCTCACCTCATCAGCCAGCAGCGACAGCTCGCTTGCATCATGAGCATCATAGTCATAAAGGACCTTCGCCTTCCGGGAGCCAGAGGCTCCTGGAGACAACCTCCCAGAGGGGAAAGAAGATGACGCTGCATCGGCGGCGCCGGCAGCAGAGGACTGGGGAGCACCGCTGGAGTTACCACATCTACATGAAGACAGAAAAACAGAAAGACGCAGGTGGAATTACTTCCAGATGTTTTCACTGACTCACTCATAGTTTGATCTAATCCAGCCCATGAGGCCCGCTAATACTGGTTCTACTGACTAATCCATACTGCTATATTTTCCACTCTTGCTAGAGTGGCAAACAAATAATACGCCATTCCTTATATAGCAATTACTTTACCATTTTGTCATAATTTCCCAAATATAAGTGGAAAAAATGTTGCATTGAGATTAAAACCTCAGCCTTGGAGAAAAAGGGGGCAAATAAAATACATGATAATAACCATTAAATTACAAATACAGCAAATATCTAAAATATTTGTAAGCATTAAAGATGGTCAGAGACCATCTGCTGTCCTTTTCTAAATACAGCAAATAAACCTACAAAAATAAATAAAAAACAAAACAAAAAAAAACGTATTAATTTAAGCAGGTAAATCAGAGAATCTGCAGAGATATTATACATTTAAGAACGTATTTATACTTAGTTACATAGAAACGCTGGTAGAGAATAATATTCTCCAGAATATTGTACATTAAAAATAAGATAATAGGGTTGTTTCTTATCATTTTAAATGTAAATCATGTTATTTCAATGGCAAACTGTCTTAAATTACACTTAAAATACGTTTATTTAAAGGGAAAAAAATAAATTATTTCCAATTTTTGCAGTTTATCTGCCAACATACTGAAAACCCTTTTAGCTTTCTGGACCTGGTGGCGTGTTAAATTGACTGAAGTTCTAAATAATGACGTTTTTTTAAATACTTTCATCCACCTCTGGTCTCTTTAGACCTGATCACCCGATAGTTACTCTAAAGAATATTGTTGTCGGAAATTTTTTTTCAATTTTTCTTCTATTATATATTAATTTATCCTCTTTACTCACTATAAAAGTTTTCACTCAGTCTGTTTCTCTCTCAAGGCCACACCATTCCCTGCAGGCTGGTGTTTGTAGACCAGACATAGCTTCTTCCCATAACAAATTAGATTCTTTCTCAAGGTTTATTCATAACATGTTACTGTTTAACCAAAGTGTGTGTAATTTGTTTAGACTCTGACTGCTTTCCATTGTTGTAAGTAGGAGGAACGAACGCTGCCCATCCCCCCCAAAAAAAAAAAAAAGAAAAAAAAGGGCCTGACACACATGAAGGTTTGCATGCAACAATTCTTATTATGGTCATTTGTTTGTCTTATCTGTTTGTCTTATATGTTGTCTGTAGTGTCTCTAACTATAGCATGTTGTCCATTTGTGAAATGATAGTTTAGTTATTTTTGTCTTGGTAAAATAGAAATGAGGGAATAATTAGGGTTAAACTGTAAATTAAGTTTCTAGTTTCTGTTGCTCATTCTTCCCCCTAACCTGTTTTCAAAACAAAGCAGGAGTTAAATGTGTTAAATTAGTAATAAAGGGGATTGATATAAGGTTCAAATATCACAACAAATAAAGTTTAATGAGACAGATTTAAAGAAAAAAAAATTAAACCAAATTAACAGATTTTGCTTGTTTAACAATAATTGGGCATTTCTTCAAATAATCAAGGACCTGTGTCATTATTTAAATACTAAATGCTAAAGTTTAATTCTTTAAGATTTAGATTAAACTTTAAGGGTAAATAAATCTATATGTGTAACGCAAATAACTTGTATAAAAATAAATTAGGCTGATTAAATTTGCTTTTAAATTATTTACAATTCTTTAAGAATTAAATCTATCTTAAACTGATCTGGATTAAATACGCAAATTGATTTAACATAAGTATTGGTTAATAATTATACGATGTTCAAATGACTTAATTGGAAATAATGATGATAATAACATTATTTAATAATAATATTATTTAATAACATTAATAATAATGATTACAATGATAGAGGATATTAATTACAGGATTTTATTCCTACATTAAGATGAATGGTGGAGACTTTAAAATGATCTATTCTCAATGAATCCATAGCTCAGATATATCTGGAGGTTAAAATGACTGAAAATTTATGGTTTTTCTTCAACAGAACATATTTTATTTGTTCTGATGAAGAAAAGGGTGGAAAGAAGATAAAACAAGAGAAAAAAAGCAAAACTAAACTAATAAGGATCCATAGAGATGCTGTTTATTTTTCCATCTGGAACAGTCCATGTGGAATTTGGGTTGATAATTGAGAGCAGAATAAATAAACAACTTAATGAAATACTAAATTATGACTAAACCAGTAAAGTAAATAAAGAGGGGAATTAAATGGCCTTCTAAAGGAAAATGATCTATTAAGGAAATGTTTGGCAGCAGAGGACAGAAACGACTGCTAGACTGCTGGATGAAGTTTGAACACCTCAGCCTGACTGTCTGATTTGTTTGGGAATCTGTTTGTTGATGTTTCAGCTTCTTGCAACTCTGGTTCGGTGTTTCTTCAATTCATGAAACTCTTGTTTCTGGTTCTTTGATTTTGCTTTACCTTGGAAACATCTTTCTTGAAATCGGTTGGAAAGCCTATTTTCCATCGATCTCCGTTTATTTAACCAGGATGAATAGTTGAATACTTTTTTCCCACGACAAGGACCCTAAAAAAAACTCAACCAGTGTTGCAGGTTTCTGCTGCGGAGGCTGAACGCCTGCAGCAGGAAGTCCTCACCTGTTCAGCTCCCTCTGCAGATCCTGCATGTAGTGATGACACTGAGCGTAATAGGTGGCCTGAGCCTCGGCGAAGTCCTGTAAACACCTCAGGTGGTTGAGCTGAGGGGACAAAGCAGAAGATGAGGCGGATCCGTCCGGTTAAACAAAGTACCAACAGATAGAAAGAAATTATGCATGAGATCCCACACTTAAATCAATTTCAGTTAAGGTCAGAGGTCATTATCCAACATAAAGTAAGAGAGACTGAACAGAAATGCCCCCCTGGGAGCAGCTAAAGGTCAGAACCACTGCTGAATGTCCCTCCTAACAGTTTTTAAAACATAATATTGAGGAAAAAGTTCTTTGAACCCATGAGAAAATATTGACCTCACAACATATTGGAAAGTTTTCTATATTTCAGAGTGAGTTAGGACCAAATACCCGGTGATCCTTCAGGTCCTACTTTTAGCGTGCGAAGGCCGGCCCTCCTTAAATCATACCGGCCCCAACACTTATTCTCCACCTGAAGCATCTGCCTGAGACAGTAAATAACTCAAGGAGATCGAGAGGTAATCCAATGTAGCAGTGTTGTGCCTGAACGCGTTCATTGAACGAAAGTTCATGAACTCGTTCATATTTTGGGCGAACGTGAACTGAACGTACTGCATTACTGCCTGATGAACGTTATTGTGAACTCGTTCATTCTGGCGTCTGTGAACGGCACGCTCTCTCAGTTCAACGACGTTCAATAGGTTGCCAGATTTCTATAGAGTCCTCCAGGCGAAACCCCGGCTAAATCACACTGTAAACAGGCCTTAATATGTAGCGGGGAAAACACCCAATCTGGCAACACCAGCTACCAGCGTCGTAGCCTACAGCCGCATGCGTCATCAAAACAAAATGCAGCGTGGAAGCCACAGCAGCATGGAGGCGACCGTGGAGGCGACAAAGCAGCAGTATGATCACTGTTGAAGAAAAATGATTATTTTTAGTTTTTAATACAGTTAATCTTATGCCATGTGTAAAAGGTATGTTGAACACTCTCATTTTGAACATATTTCTTAATTTTGAACAAGTTTGTGAAGATAACCTTTCCTTGAACCAGATTACTGAATTTAAGTTTGTTCCGGAGAATTTATGGCAGGAAGAGCATTCCAACAGCTATTCTGTGGAATCTTGTCATGTGTTTTATGACCCCAGATGTTTGCCGTAAATTAGGGGAAGCTCTAAGTTTTTCTGAGTGTCAGAGATAGCTCCTGGTTGGAGGAGCAAAAGCCAGCCTTATTTGAATAAATTAAATACAAGAGGTTAAAACTTTCTACACAGAGTAACAAATCAGATTTGCCTCTTGCAACTCTCCAAAGGTGTCTTTGTACGTCTTTGCTTTCTTTCCTTCTCTCCATTTATGTCAGGTAATTGAATGTATGTCTCCGTTTTTCTGCAGTTTCTGGTGTAAGTTTGTGCATTGTCTTATTTCTAAGTTTATGCATTGTCTTATATTGGATTAAACTCTGTAATTCTGTGATGTCAACACGCAATGCTGGTTTTCCTTGTGACCACACGCAGCTCGCCGAGTGGACCTGGGAAAGGAAGAATGAAAAGCCAACCTTTTTCCAAAGTTAACTATTTTAGAATATTTTCTTCCTTAACATCACTTAAAACAGTTTTATGACCAGGTGGTCGGTGAGGATGATGGCAACAATCTTACATTTTTCTGCAAACTTTGCCCGCCGACTTTCAGTAAAAAAAATCCGCACTTAAACCTGCCTGGATTCCTTTTTAGTATGTACTGAAATTAAATTTCAAATGGAAAAAATACTTAAAAAAAACAAAAAAATAACATTTGCTCCTTAAAGACTACTTTCCTGTTTTTCTTTTAATAATTCCTCATAAAATGATGTTTTTGAGAATATACTGTAGGGGTGAAAGCTGCAGCTGCTACTAGTGTGAAGTGAATGGACAGCAACAAAGCGTTAAAGCAACAATGGGGAAATGCTGTCCCCTCAATGCTAATGTAAACCCTGGTTGGATAAGGATTCAAAACTGGATATGAAGATGAAATCTGACGCACAGTTTCAGAGTTACAACTGATAAAATAATTGCTGTCTGTGGTTCTACAGTAGGATGGTGTAATTGAGCTGTAAAAAAATAAATAAATAAAAAAAGAACTATGAAGTAGTTCATTTTTTGGAACTGTGAACTTAGTTCAAAATGTTGAATTATGAACTATGAACTGAACTAGTTCATTTTAAAATGTGTGAACTGAACTTTGAACTAGTTCACGTAGAAAGAGAACTTTCTCAACACTGGCTTGCAGTATATATAGCCCTTCCTTGTCATGCACATCCTTGTGACGGTTGGCATGTGGTGTAATTTTCTATTTCTTTAAACTGTAAAATCCTCGCAAACTTAATTATAATAAAACCTAAATGCTTTCTTTAAACCAAACTACGATGTTCCTCTTATATTTGTTGAATTTATGTTTGAATACATGATGGGGTTTTGCATCTAAAGGCTAATGTTTCCCGTCTTACGTGCATCGTTGCCAGGTTGGGATGTTTTCCAATCTGGCAGTTTAGGACGGCCGTCTATGGGTAAAAAATGTTTTTCTTTAGATTTACGGCCTAAGAGATCAATAGACTTTGGTTATGATTCAAATTGGGTGAGATGTCGTACATCCAGGTGGTTTATGTAAATTTTCTGGGCTGGAAAATTGAGTCAGTAACCCCTGGCAACCCTCCTGATGTGGTGAAGGGGGACCGGCGCCTCTGACTCACATGTGTGCTGCTTATTCCTTCCAGGAGCAGGCGGGTCACTTCTGCCTGACGATCAAACTCTGTCTGGGCAACTCGAAGCTCGTGCTCCGCCTGGCAGGGAAGAACCGAGGAGAAGGGGCCGTTAAAACATACAAACACACCAAGACAATCACACACACACACTCATCTGCGAGGGAGAGTACTCACTTTGTCCACTTCTTCACTCAGCAGCTGAAAAAAACAGAAGCAGAAACAGGGATTTATTTAACCCATCCGTTTCCAGAATGAACCAGAACTGGGTTCAAAGGGTCCAACTTTCTGCTTTTTTCTGGTCTAAACAGGTTATAGTATAGAAACACACCCTAAGAATTTAAGTTAAGAAGTCAAAAATTAGGAGCAATATTTATAATTATGTAGCGTGTTTTAAAAGTAAATTAAGGGGTTTATTTTTTTTCCAAGTCATTTTTTCTCTATGCCATTCATTCATTTATAAAAATCTTACTTTATTAAATAAATATTTAGTTTGGAAATTAAATATTTATTTATTTTATTCTTTTTTTTTCATATAAATATCAAGCTCCAGACTAAATATTTAGCTTGGAGCTAAGTATTTATTTAACAAACTAAATATTTATTTAACAAACTAAATATTTATTTAACAAACTAAATATTTATTTAACAAACTAAATATTTATTTAACAAACTAAATATTTAGTTTATTAGCTAAGTATTTATATAACAAACTAAATATTTAGTTTGGAGCTAAGTATTTATTTAACAAACTAAATATTTAGTTTATTAGCTAAATATTCATTTAGCAAACTAAATATTTAGTTTGGGGCTAAGTATTTATTTAAAAAAACAAAATATTTATTTAACAAACTAAATATTTATTTAACAAACTAAATATTTAGTTTATTAGCTAAATATTCATTTAACTAACTAAATATTTAGTTTGGAGCTAAGTATTTATTTAACAAACTAAATATTTAATTTGCAAACTAAATATTTAGCTCTAAACTAAATATTTATCTATCAAAGTAAGATTTTTATAAATGAATGAATGACGGCGAAAAAAATAAAAAAAATAAACCCTTACTTTTCTCTTAAAATACGCAAAAATAACTATAAATATTGCTCCTAATTATTTACTGCTTAACTTTACAAATGGTGCCCCATACCAAAGAGCTGCAGTTAAATTAAACAGTCTGTTCTCTCTTTGCAGCGCCACATGGTGGTCAGAGGGAGGAATTGCAAATATAAAAAGTGCTGAAAAGACATAAATGAGCAGTGGTTGGGACTGATGCATTATTAAGTGATGAGTTTTAGTAACTAGGTTACTTTCCCAGTCATTGTTATGCTTTAAACCAGAGGTCTTCAACAGGGGGTCCGTGACCCCTAGGGGGTCCACTCAGGTACTGCATGGGGGTCACGAAACTTTTGGTAAATTCATTATTTTTTTTTTTTAATTCACTCATGCATTGAAATGTCTTTAAATCCACATTAATATGAATTGAACAGACTGTAGTAAACAGATAAATGGAGGCAGAAGATGTCTTTCAGTCATCAATGCACACGTTCAGAGACACACAGGAGCTCTTTCAAGCTGGGCACCGTTTCATTCACAACACCTGTCCCATCAACCAGAATCAGAATCAGAAATACTTTAATAATCCCAGGGTAATAATTACTTTAGTTACATTAGAGTGACTATAGGACCAGTTTGATATAGCATCATTTCATACGATATATATAATTAGGGGGTCCCCTCTCCATCTGGAAAGCGTTGAAGAACCCTGCTTTAAACCATTTTGTTCTTTATTACTTCATGCAGGGCTCTTCAACATTTTCCAGGCCAAGGACCCCCAAACTGATGGCGAGATGGAGGGGGACCCCTGTGATGTTATGAGCCGGAAAGCTCTTGAACTCCAATACCCAGCATGCAACGGGGCGCGTGGCGTCACGGGTTGGAGGTCAGAGCGGGCGGCGGTTCGGGATGTAGGTTGCTACTGGATGGTTCTGTGGAGTTCGAAGTAAATATACAGAACAAGCATACACGCCTCGTCTCTTATATAGAAACAAAGAACAAAACGACCCCCTAATTATATATATTGTATGAAATGATGTTATATCAATATAGTCACTCTAATGTAACTAAAGTAATTATTACCCTGGGATTATTAAAGTATTTCTGATTCTGATTCCTGGTTGATGGGACAGGTGTTGTGAATGAAACGGTGCCCAGCTTGAAAAAGCTCTGGTGTGTCGCTGAATGTGTTCATTGATCATGGGCGGTTCAAGACAGGGGCCAACGGGGGCCGGTGCCCCTGTAGATCACGCCCCGGCCCCTGTTATGGCCCCTTTACTAAAGACGTGATACTTAAAGAAATTCTGATGACGATCTGCTCTGGAACAGACATGGTTACTGATAGGTCCTTTGGATCTCGTTCATTCTTTTCCTTTACAAATTCTGTTTCACTAATTATGTAAAAAATAAAAATAAAAAAAAGGTGATAGCTTCAGTGGTATTGAGATAAGATTCCAGTTATCATTTGCTAAGTGTTTTTTTTTTTCAAAACAAATTCCTGAAATTATTTTACGACAGTTTTTCTTGAGTTCTAATTCAGATTCTATAGAAAACAGTAATTTTAACTTAAGTCAAAAATATATAAAATTCCTAAATTATAAATGTATATTGACCTAATAAGACGTAGAATTTTAATTGGGCATAATTGAATAGAAATGTCACTTCATACAGCTATATTAATATATTTCAACCTCTTGCCCTGTTTTTTATTTCATGCTTTTCTGTGGCCCCAATGAAAACACGCTGGCCCCCGCCTGGCCCCCTCCTGGTCCCCTGGTACATTTGGTCTAGAACCGCCTCTGGCATTGATGACTGAAAGACATCTTCTGCCTCCATTTATCTGTTTACTACCGTTTGTTGAATTCATGTTAATGTGATTTAAAGATGTTTCAATTAGTGGGAAAAAAAATTGCAGGGTGAATTATAAAAAAAAGTCTAATCAACCAAAACTTTCACGACCCCAATGCAGTACCTCTGTGGACCCCTTATTGGAAGACTTCTGACTTAACGCATATAAATAAGGACTACAGTTCCCTGGCGAGCGCACATGGCGCCCGCAGCATCTGAAGCGTCAATGACAGCGTTCCTACAGAACAGCTTTACTAAATGTTGCAATGATTTGATCCTTTTGTGCAGAACAGACTTTATCAACGCTTCTTAGAAGCTGTGATCTAAAGAAACTCATCAACATCTTAATAACACTGACTGACAGCTGCTGCTTTTAGTGAACACATCTTTACTTTCTCTGGGCTGTAATGATTTTACCTGCATTGATTAATTATTTTTTTTCACTCATATAACCTCTGTTTAATTTTATTGCAAAGTATTTATCTTATTTGTGTTAAATTGCTGGAAGCGGCTGTTCCAATCGTTGCATTTCCGAATTCTCCTGAGTGGTGCACGACTTTACACCAGTGAATAAAGTGAATGTGATTGGTTGATGATCAAGGGTGATTGAGTGATTGTTGTGGCGAAAGGTTCGCAAGCAAGTTAGATTGTGGCCAGTTTGTCGGAAGCATCTTGCTAACCAGTTAGCGACTTAGTGCTAGCAGGTTCCCAATGGGAAATTCCATTGGGACCAAGTAGCACTAAATTGGTGACTTAGAAACGACGCTGTCAAGGAACGCTATGGACAGCGGAAACATGCAAGAGGAGGAGAGTTTAGTGCCGGAGGTCGTGGATGAGTCTCCTCCGTCATCCATTTTTTATTTAGAGGAGGAAAGCGGGGACGAAGATGTTGTGGAAGAGGACGCCAGGGCGGCAGAAGCTTGGTTTGGTGTAGAAGGCTTCCAGCCGTACATGTTTGAGCCCTTGCCTCGCAACGCTGCCAGTTCTGTTAGCTCTACGCCTGCTGAAGACACAGACGTCCATCCCCGTGAACACTGGGACGCAACTCAATGGGAAAGGAAAGGATTCTGATTTCAACCGTTGCGTATATTAGCTGCGACATATGAATCAAGATGCTACGACCGAAAACATTTGATTGACAGATGACCGTTGATATATGATTGGCCGAATTTAGGTGTTCAGGCTGACGTAGAACTAACTGGCCTGCAGAAGATAACGGAAAAAAAAAAGATTTTAAGACAGAATTTTTTTTTTTAGATAGAAATTTATCAGAGATAAATTCTGATAAAGAGGACATTTCTATACATATTTAAACTCTATAACGTGTGTGATAACATGTATCAATCTCTATATGTGATATGTCTCTTTTTATTTTTAATCTTTATTATCTTGTGTAGTTGGATAGATATATATATATATATATATATATATATATATATATATGTATGTAAAACTGTAACTGGAGCGTGTAACAAAAGTAATTTCCCTCTTGGATTATTTAAGTATTTCTGATTCTGATTGATTCTGATAAATCAAAATAATTTGACATTTAAATATGACTTCCCTACAACTTTAATTTATCCCTTTAGTCACGTACAAAAAAAACTATTGAATTACTCATTTCTTAGCCTCGATGAGCAGCTGCAGAGATCACTGCTTCGATGCTCTCAGTGATTCACACCTTACAGCTCAGAGTCTGAACTTTGACACATACTACAGAACCACTTGCTTTATAAATCAGCTAAAGGCCATCACTTTAAATACATTTCAGGATAATATAATTTCAGATTTTTCAGTAGAACAGAGAAAAACTGACATAAATCCCCATAATCTAAGCTGCAAAAATGTTCTGATCCAGAACTTCTGTATTTGGTTTTCTCTGATTGTTTTTGGCTCCATTATTTTCAGGCTCTATGAGGAAACTAAAAGGATAAACACACATCTAAACTGACTCGGACCTGCTGTTCTATCAGCGCTACAGGACTCAGTTCTACTCCATCTATCTGTCCAACCTTATTCTGTGCAGAGACACTGGGATCGGGCTCCACATCCCAGCTTTCCCAGCTGCTCTAAAGTCGGATCACGGAGAAACAGACTGAGAATCAGCAGAAATGTTCGCAGATTCAAACTAAATAAAACAGTGACTTCGCACAGAACCACTGAATGAGTTCTGATCCAATATTCCCCCCACATCTGATCCCTTCGATCTCTGACCTTTTCAAACAATCAGAATAATCTGGTTTATTTCCTGGTTTTCCAGAATTCTTCACAGCAATCCAGATGCAAAATCAGCATCAGCAACATCCTCTAGCAGTCAGGCTGTTCTCACTTTCCCACAAACAGAACCTAGATTTTAGCTTCATTTACTGAATAAACACTGACGGCCTTTCTGCTTTATTCTTCCTGAGGAAACTGGGATTGGAAATAAACCCTGGTGTGAACATTCCGAGCGCATCCAACACTGCGAGGTCAGTTTACAGAAGCTCAGATGGAAACCAGAAGCAAAGCATCCGTTCTCCACTGAAAAACTGATCTAATTTCAAATAAAACTTTCTGAAAAGCAGATTAATAAAATAATCTGACAGTGAAACCAGTATCCATTCCCTTTAATATAAGATTTTAGACATAAAAAAGCACCTAAAAAAAAAAAAATTTATATATATATATATATATATATATAATAAAAAAAAAAGGATTTCTAAAACATATATCGTTTGATAAAGAGTACATTTATATACATGTTTAAGCCAGAATGATTTGACATTTAAATATGGCTTCCCTATGACTTTAATTTATCCCTTTAGTTTTGTACGAAAAGTTACTACTCACTTTTTAGTGTTTTTTTTTTGTGAAGATTACAGTGATCTCACCTTAAATCTGGTGAGATCACCTTTGGAGCAGGTCTAAAACATGACTAAAGCGATAGACGCCCATTGAGGTAGTTTAAAGTCTATTTTTCATACAAACCTAAAGGAATAAACAGAAATCTGATGTTTTGCGCATGCATATTGACAATAGGTATGCTGGTCTGACAGAACACCGGAGCTAAACATCCGTTTCCCACGGAAAACCTGATCTAATTACAAATAAAACTTTATGAAAAGAAATGTTAACTTGAGCAAATTAATAAAATAATCTGACAGTGAAACCACTTTTCATTCCCTTTAATATAAGATCATTAGACATAATGCACCTAAAAAAAAAATATACACTTCCATTCAAAAGTTTGGGGTCACATTGAAATGTCGTTATTTTTTATAGAAAAGCACTGTACTTTTCAATGAAGATAACTTTAAACTAGTCTTAACTTTAAAGAAATACACTCTATACATTGCTAATGTGACTATTCTAGCTGCAAATGTCTGGTTTTTGGTGCAATATCTACATAGGTGTATAGAGGCCCATTTCTAGCAACTATCACTCCAGTGTTCTAATGGGACAATGTGTTTGCTCATTGGCTCAGAAGGCTAATTGATGATTAGGAAACCCTTGTGCAATCATGTTCACACATCTGAAAACAGTTTAGCTCGTTACAGAAGCTACAAAACTGACCTTCCTTTGAGCAGATTGAGTTTCTGTAGCATCACATTTGTGGGGTCAATTAAACACTGAAAAAGGCCAGAAAAAGAGAACTTTCATCTGAAACTCGACAGTCTATTCTTGTTCTTAGAAATGAAGGCTATTCCATGCGAGAAATTGCTAAGAAATTGAAGATTTCCTACAATGGTGTGTACTACTCCCTTCAGAGGACAGCACAAACAGGCTCTAACCGCAGTAGAAAAAGAAGTGGGAGGCCGCGTTGCACAACTGAGCAAGAAAATATACATTAGAGTCTCCAGTTTGAGAAACAGACACCTCACAGGTCCCCAACTGGCATCTTCATTAAATAGTACCCGCAAAACACCAGTGTCAACATTTACAGTGAAGAGGCGGCTGCAGGATTCTGGGCTTCAGGGCAGAGTGGCAAAGAAAAAGCCAGATCTGAGACTGGCCAGTAAAAGAAAAAGTTTAAGATGGGCAAAAGAACACAGACATTGGAGAGGAAGACTGGAAAAAAGTGTTGTGGACGGATGAATCCAAGTTTGAGGTGTTTGGATCACAAAGAAGAACGTTTGTGAGACGCAGAACAAATGAAAATATGCTGGAAGAATGCCTGACGCCATCTGTTAAGCACGGTGGAGGTAATGTGATGGTCTGGGGTTGCTTTGGTGCTGGTAAGGTGGGAGATTTGTACAGGGTAAAAGGGATTCTGAATAAGGAAGGCTATCACTCCACTTAGCAACGCCATGCCATACCCAGTGGACAGCGCTTGATTGGAGCCAATTTCATCCTACAGCAGGACAATGACTCTAAACACACCTCCAAATTGTGCAAGAACTATTTAGAGCAGAAGCAGGCAGCTGGTTTAAGCCAGAATGATTTGACATTTAAATATGGCTTCCCTACAACTTTAATTTATCCCTTTAGTTTTGTACGAAAAATTACTTCTCACTTTTTAGTGTTTTTTTTTTTTGAAGATTACAGTGATCGCACCTTAAAACTGGTGAGATCACCTGTGGAGCAGGTCTAAAACATGACTAAAGCGATAGACGCCCATTGAGGTAGTTTCATCTGAAACCAGAACCAGTTCTGTTCACACTCGGAACCTTTCTGCTTTATTCTTCCTGAGGAAACTGGGATTGGAAATAAACCCTGGTGTGAACATTCCGAGCGCATCCAACACTGCGAGGTCAGTTTACAGAAGCTCAGATGGAAACCAGAAGCAAAGCATCCGTTCTCCACTGAAAAGCTGATCTAATTACAAATAAAACTTTCTGAAAAGAAGTGTTAACTTGAGCAAATTAATAAAATAATCCAGTATTCATTCCCTTTAATATAAGATCATTATTCATCAGCGCTGCAGTGTCTGTAGAAATCTGACCCAGAGAAGTTAAAATGTGTTTCCTCTCTTCTTTTTTTTTCTTCTAAGACTAAGTTGCATCTTTTTTCAATATCAAAATCCCTCAATTAAAATTAAATTCAAGATAAAAGGTCATTTATTTAGGATTGAAGGTTTTTAAGCCTAAAGAGATTAACTTTAGACTTTAAATTTGAAGGTTATGATTGGAGATTTTCACAGGAATATCTGCTGCTTCTAAAACATTGTCATGTCTCTTTTTTTATCTCTGATGCTGCAGGATCTGCAGACTGCATCACATATGAGTCAGAACTGATCCGACGTTCCCCAGGAAAATCTGAGCAGGACAGACGCCCCGACCCGATGACCGGCTGCAGACCTTATCGGATCGATGCTCTCAGTGAATCACGCTTTACAGCTCAGAGCTCGTCTGTCTGGCTGAGTGTTTCCTGGATGATGCCTTTTACAGTTGCAAAAAATTAAATATAAGCAAATAAAATTTTATTATGTAATCTGTTTGTAGCTGGTAAATGAAACAATGAAATATGATTAATGATGAAAAAACTTAAAAAATACTAATTCAATTATCGGATTTTAAGCATAATATCCATTTATCCTATTTTAAAGGAAAAATGCTCATTCTTTTAAAAGATCATCTTATTTACCTGCTACAATAAAGAGAAGTTAACGGCTTCTTAGAGATTTTTACTTCTGTTTAGATCAGTTTTTGCGGAGGTCAGATAATTCCTTAGAAGACGTGTTTTAAGGACAGACTGCTCTAAGCTGCTCTGAAGGAGCTATAGCTGCTGACGCCTGCAGGAAAACATCAAAATGATCCGTTATTTTGATGAAAGACTGAATTAGAGCTCACATTGATGCAGCATGAATATGATTCATCTTCTCATCTGGGTGGGGGATTAATTAAAACTGGATGTCATCATTTTATTTCATAATTTAATATTCTTGTCCGGTTGATCTGGTTTAATACTCTAAGTTACTGTAGGCGTGCCTGAAACAGGAAGAAGGACCAGAGAACGGCTTAAATAAATCCATAAATCACACCAGGAGTCTAACAGTAACTGACAGCTACTAATGTTTGCTTGTTTATTTGGTTTTCTGAATGCTCTTCTCCAGACAAACGACAGCATCACCCTGCAGGAAGAGGCCTATTCTCTAAACAACCTGTGGAGCTTTATACTTCCATACAATTAGACCCATTCATAAGGTCCGTCTGATTGATATGCAGTGTGTGTGTCTTCAACTCTCACCGCGGATGCGCTGGCTGACAGGACGTAATTCCTGGGCCTCGTCTCCTGAAAATCTGGTGTAGCCTAAAGAGAGACAGAAACACTAATGTTGCTTCCTTTCATAATTCACCCAAAAAAAATATTTAATATAAAATGCAAAACAAGGAAAGAATCAGCAAACAATCAAATCAACAATAGTAGTAAGGGATGAATATGGTGGTTTATGTCGCCCCCTAGTGGGCATTGAAGGTATAAGCCAGATAATTACAGGATGTAAATCCTAGAAATACAAGGATTTAGAGGTTAAATTTTAAATGTAGATTCAAACTGAATTATACATGTCAAAAAAATAAATAAACAGATAAATAATAAATATTTTGTTAATGGTTATTTTAATATAACTAAATATTTTTCTGAGCTCCAGTCCAGCATTAAATATTTAACTGCTACCGTTGCTCAGCAAACAGATGCTCAAACCTGATTGGTTCATCTCTACAACCAATAAAAATAAAAAAAATTTTTTTAAATCAACCAGAGTAATTCTGTCTGTGACAAAAAAAAAAAATATTAATTGTTTAAATCAAAATATAAAGATTAAAAGACTAAGAAGCAACACAGCAGGTCTAATCAAACTTGAGCTTGTTTCTTTATATCCCTTTTTTGTATTTATCTTACTTTTTTTCTTCCCAATCTTGTATTTTTCTGTTAAACCTTATAAGATCTTATTAACATGGTACCAGCCTCCATATTTTCCTCTCGCCTGCAGTAAGATCTATAAACAATAATCGTTTCTCTTCCACCAGGTTTCCTCCCCTGTGGATCTTCTGGGGTTTCTGTTTACTGCAGTTCTGCTCTCCTTTGTAAATCCGCTCCAGCCGAATCAGATCGGACTGATAACATCCATCAGAATCACTTTTTAGGTAAAGTCTCAGCTGTTCAGTTGGAGTTCAGTCTCTGCTTTGACTCGGCCATTAATCTGCCCTGATCTAAACGCTCCACTGGATCAGGATGATCAGGCTGGTTCTCCTTCACCTCAGTCTCAGGTCCTCTGCAGCTCTAACAGCTTTTCCTCCTGGATGTTTCTGGATTTAACTCCATCCACCATCATCACCTCTGACCAGCTAACCTGTCACAGCATCATGCTGCCACCACCATGCTCCATTCAATACATTTCCTTCTTAATGTTTTCTCCAATCACAGGAACTCTGTCATCAGATCCTTGTGTCATGGCGCCACCTTCTGGGTAACAAACTGAACAGCAGAGGAAGAAGGTTAAGGAAAACCTCCTTCATCTGAGGGTCTACTTATCTCACCGCTGCTTTGGCTTCAGCCTGCTTGGCCTTTTTCACACGGGCCTTGCAGATGTCCAGGTCCAAGCGTCGGTTCTCCAGAAGCCGCCTCTCTTTCTGCAAACAGAATCAGAACCAATGAACCTGCAGTTCTCTCTATCTCAGGATATCTTAACTAAGAGTTAAGCTCTCTGATCCTGATCCAGTCCTCGGTTCATTCCGACCCTTCAGGCTTTCCTTTTATCTGTGAAGTGGTGCTGTGGAACAATTCTGAAGGTTTCCCTCCGATTTAACTCACAGCTCACTGAACATGTTTTCTGCTTTCTGAATATTCTGTTAAATTTATGGCAGCAAACCAGTAAAACTGAGTTTTAATCTTTCTTTCGAAGAATAATCTTCCTGGGTAAAACATCTGATCCAGTTCGCTTTACAACAGAAGACAGGATTGAAACCAGGACTGGATCAGAATCCAACGCTGGTTTCTGAGTGGATCCGACTCACTGAGATGGTTCTCCAATCTCCCTCCAGGAAGTTGCGCAGAGGAGAGAGGAAAGTCACGGCTGAGGTGTGGAGGAACTCCCGTTCGGCTCCTCCCAGCTTCTTCTGGTACTCTCCGACGGTGATCAGGGTGCTGCCTGCAGCCAGACGGACGCAGAAGCTCAGACACACAGAGACCTTCATCGCTCCTCATCACTTCCATCAACAGAACCTGATGATCTACGTTCAGGAGCTACAGGAGTGAAAGCCGGATTCAGCCGCTCACCGTACGGAGTTTCTGCTCCAAATTCTTTAGCGGCGTCCAGCATGTGCTGGCCCAGCAGCTCGGCGTTGGTGGTTCTAGAGGGAAGCTTCCTGTCCAGCTTGTCGTAGATGAACTCCTCGATCCGAGCGCCTGGAAGCAGCGATAAAAATGGTTCAGATTCTCTCAACCGCCTCCCTTCTCCATGCAAAATAAAGTTAGAAACACTGGAATCATACGAACAGCATAAAAAGAAAAGTTGCAGACAAATTTACTGATAAAACTTCCAAAAACCAAATAAATTACATTGATTAAATAAATAATTAAACTAATTAACATAAAACTACGACAGAATAAAACCAAGAACTATTTAAAACAATCATCATCAGAAAGTTCCTGACAGCTCAGAACCGGGCTTCAGGGAGATTCCTTTCTAAATTTTATCCAGACATCAATCCCTTTCATTTCAGAGGCATGCTGGGAAAAAAGGACAGACCTACCTGTGTGATCAACTGAAGCATGAAGGAAAACAGAGATCAGATGTTAATAAAGGAGCCAGAAACAGTTCCGGTTCTTCAACAGCTATAGGAACCTCTAAATCTGGTTTTAACTCCAACGTCTCGGAGAGCTTAAAGGTGAGAGCTACAAGTTTAACTCCTCCCAGCCAGAAGGTGGCGCTAGCTTTGCTGATTTCCAACCAGTTGCCACAATAATTTTGTTTTTTTTTGTTTTTTTTATGCTAATTTTACAAAGTACAAAACAATGACAGGGCGAAATGTACATGGATTTCAATTCAAAACAACTTCTTAACAGATCAAGTCAATTCGTAAAATGGAGACACATCAAGCAAGTATATAAATAATAAAAACCATGAAATAATACAGAAACAAGACACCATAAACATTATACCATTTACACGCCTGAATTGTGTCTGAAATAAAATTATAACAAAACTGTACAAAAGTAAAGTAATAAAATAATAACAAAGGGCAATTTTATATCAACTTCAAGTTTTACTTTGACAGCGGGTTTGGAATTAGTCAGAGACTTATAATATAAATCAAAGTCATTTTTCCAATGGCAAAAAGTGGGCTTTGTCTTAAAATACCTACATCTGTGAATGAAAAATTTCCCCATCAGTATAAGGTCATTTCTGGGGATGCATGATATAATCGGCCCCCTATCAGTATTGGCCTTAAAACTGAATATCGGACATCGGCCACCCCACCGATATTTAACCCGATATTTAATCAGCTTCTGAGTTTCTAAAGTCTAAAAAAAAAAATACTACTTCTTCTTCTTCCTCAAAAACTTCTTTTTTACAGACTTAAAAACTTCTAAAGACGAGGGAAAAAATATTGATACATTAAAATATCCCAATATCTTCATATGCTGATATATTGCCATTTAAAAACACCATATCAATCTCTTTTACTAATGAAATATTGCTATATGTCATCGTTATGCTACGAAATCCCCCGAAAATTCACCAAATTTTGCCATATTTTTATTTGTTGATATATTGATGCGGTATCGATCTATTTTACTAACAAAATCTCACAAGAATTTGCAAAATATCAAGAGAGTTTGTAACAGAACCATGAAATTTCACGAGATTTTGAAAGTAAAATAGATCGATACCGCGTTTTTAAAAATCTATTTGATATCAGCATATGAAAATATATTTGAGTATATTATTTTTCAAAGTGTCAGAAATGGATAACAAAACTGCTATTTTCAATGACTACTTATTTTTGTCCAGCTTTAACATCGGTATCGATATCGGTTATCGTGAGTTTTAAAATATCGGCATATCGGATATCGGCCAAAATCCCAATATCGTGCATCCCTAGTAATTTCCTAAATATTCAAGAGTCTTATTCACACTTTCTAAACCAAATAAAATACTTGTGTCAGGTAGTGTCAAAACAACGTTCTTCAATATTAGGCAACTTTGGAAATCTTTCCAGAATTTAAAGATTGGTTCACAAAAAAAAAAAAAAATGTTTCAAACTCTCAACATTTCTCATGCAAAAAACACAACATTCTGTATGAAACTTAAACTTAGAAGTCAAAAATTCTTTAGTTTGATAAATTTCATTGATAATTTTGAATTGCACCTTTTTCTCTTTTGTTGGCAGATGGTAAGTTATGTAATTAGTTCTTATTTTAATAATCTGATCTGCTGTAAAGTCCTTTAAAATGTAATGTCTAGTTGCCACAATAATGCTAATGATAACATTCAACTTACCAGTCCAAAAAAGAGAAAATATCAACCCTTTATGTACTTTAACCCACTATAAGGAACTTAGTGTATTACTTTGAAATTTAAAATGCCAGGTAAAGAGCGTCATTAGAGGACTGAACAAGACATTGGATGTGTCTGAATGTCCGCCCTAACCACGATATGGGGAACTATATACAGGTTAGGCCATTTTAGAGGATGTCTAGTGGGTTAAAAAAGTAGTGGACTTGAAATTTCCCACAATGCACCTTGAAAAATAGTTATCATCCATGGTCACTAAAGGAGCAGATATATCCCAGAATGCTTTGCACAGAGAGCCCTCCTTGCAAAGCATCATGGGATTAGTTGTCACAGCAGCCTGCTGTCTGGGAGGCGGAGTTATGTGAGCAACAGGGAGCAGAAAGTAGTGATCATCTGTCCGAATGGTGAGTTAACTGAGTTCACTATAAAGTCCCCGCTCTATATAGTGATTGAGGGATTTAGGGGTTAGGGCGGCATTCTAAGGCAGCCATTATTAACTCTGTAACATAAAAAAAAATTTGCAAAAAACAAGGTCATAGTAATTACCATAAACATTCCCTTGCCCTAATATACATTGCTCCTTCCTGTGTTTCCAAAAAGGCCAAAGTAAATAACCCAGTCCTTCTTTTCACTGTAGACAAGCCATGATCTGCTTATCTGTTCTCCATTTTTCATTTGGATGAAATAATAGCTGCATGAATCATGACAGCAGACAAGATAGAGGAGAGCAGGAGGCGGGGTTACCAATCTACGCGCTCTGGAGAGCAGAGCTCGCTGCTTTTAGATGTTGTCTCCAAAGTCTCCAGTAGCAGAAAAAAGTCTCTAGATTTGGCGCTAGGAGCTTTTTAGAAATCAAAGTGCTAGAGGGGTCTGAAAAGTGGCTAAATATAGCGACTAAAGCGCTAAGTTGGCAACACTGCTCTTTGCATCGTTTGTTTTCAAATGGTTTGCTGCTGTCTGTTTGGACCTTTCTGAACATGTGCAGCAAATGGACTGATCAAATATGGTGGACACTGAAGGGTAACCTGACTCTGCCAGATGGATTTGCTCCGCATTTCCATCTGGAAACCTTCCGTTGAAGTAATTTTGGGAAATGGCGAAAATACTGGTTAGCTGATTGGCCTATGTTGGTGATAGACGGGCCAAATAAACCAATCAGATCAACGAAGCATATGACGTACTAACAGAGCGACGATGAAGAGGAGCCAATTGATAGATCAAACTCTTGCCGAAACCAGTCGGGAGAAGAGCAAAAACATCTTTTCCTCTGAGAAAAGCCTCCAGAGCAGTGTTTTGCTCTTCTTTCAGTGAAGAAATACTCTGTAATTCCGATAAAACTTGCTCGATAGCCACGCTAACGCTAGTTTCATTTCATCGGCTGAAGCCGCCATGTTCTTTAGACTGAACTGTCGCACCTTGTCGTTGCGTCACACCTCAACCCGCCTCAAAGCCAACGCTGATTGGACGTTCGTTTGGTGAACGGCTCCAAATTTTCTTTAACGGAGAGTCTCCAGACTGATTAGCGAGTGAAATCTTGAAAGCTCGCGAGATCAAGATGGTCTTACGAGGCTAACTGAAGGCGGGGGCTGAGACACACTTAATATTATCGGCGTTCTGATGGCATTTTAGTGAAAGGATTTTCATCAAAAACATAATGTGCACAAATAAAAAAATAGCGGTATTAACCATGCATGTAGGAGGAGTTTGATGGGGCCCCCAGGAATTTTGGGCCCTGGGCACCTGCCTAGTATTGCCTAAAGGTAAATCCGCCCCTGTCTACATACCTACCAGACATAAAGATCGTTAATCTAGACCGGCAGGAATCACTCACTTGGGTTGGGCTGCAGCAGAACCTCTGTTTGTCTTAAGATCTTCTCAGTCCAGTTCTTCGTAGCGTCCCCCTTGGTTATTAGGTTTTCCAAGTGGGGGTCCAGCTCCGTCTTCTCCGCCTGGCCCAGCTTCTCCTCTGTGAACTGAATCACAGGAGAAGATTATTCAGGAGAAGAAACCAGGAGCTGTTTTTATCCCATCCCTTAGGGAGCAGTGAGCAGCCTGCAGAGCCTAGGGAGCCTTAGGGGGTGAGGGTCTTCCTCAGGGACCCTGATTAGCAGACTGCATTTTAAACCAGGGATGTTGCAGCTTCTTCAGGACACACAGACACCCATCCCCCTATTCTGATTATTCTAACCACACCTAAGAGGCCTGAGGATCTGAGCTGCTGTGTCTCTGGTTAAATTCATATTTTAAGGACGCAATCAAAAAGAGTGAGAGAAAACATGACCTATAACTTTACAAGCCATATTTTTCCTTATTTATAATAACCTTATCCTCCCCATTACCTGCTGATGCCCTGGGTAAAAAGCCTCCATGTCTGTATTAGAATAACATCATAATGCATTAGATTGTAGCCGAATATTAACCCAAATCTCCAACATTATAATAAATGTTTTTGTTTCCTCAACAACATCAATACACAGGAAGAAATCAACCAGATAAGTTAAATAAGCTGTTTTTTGAACAGAGTCTGGTTGGCGACAGCAGCAGGGTTCTGCTGGTGTCACATGAGTGATGGAGCTGATCACAGCCATCAATAATGGATCGAGTCAGGACGGACCTTTATCATCTTACAGCTGCTGCTCATCTGAGCCACAATAAGCAGGAAAAACCTCAGAAATGAGCAGAAGAAGAGCCGGCCGGTCCAAACGGAGCTCCGCACGCACAGAGCCTCCATCCCTGCAGGATGCGGAGCTTTCTAACGGCGATTAAAGCCGCATCAGCCCGCAGACCGCAGCAGGAGAGCCGCTGGTTTTACCTGCACGGCCCGGGTGAAGAACACCCCCGCGTCTGAAGCCAGCTTCTTCACGTTGAAGTCCATGGTGCTGAGAGGCTTCTGCTCGCCTTTGTTTACCCAGAATCAGCTGGTGATGTAGCAGCAGGAGACGCTGAGCTGTAGCCGTAATCCGCTCCGTGGAGGAGGATCGGAGATCTGCTGTCTGCCCTGCGCTTAAAGAGACATCAGCTGCGGCATGCAAGCCACTGCTGCCGCCCTGCAGCCTGGACTGAGGCTCTGCACGACCTCCACTGGCAGAAGCAACATTAGATCTGCCTATATGTGAAGAAGCTGGTCATTTTGCATTGCGGGCATGCATATGGTGACTATGGAGAGGAATAACTAAAACTACAACAGAACAAGAACCAGGCTCCAGAAGCTCCAGAGTTTTTTTTTTCTGCAGGTGCCAAATGCTGCAAAGCATAGAACTGAGGGTGCAATGCGGAGGTGTCAAAAATATTAATATTCATTACTCACATACAGAGGTGGAAAGAGTACTAAAAAAATTGTAATTGAGTAAAAGTATCTTTACTTTGCCTAAATTTTACTCAGAGTAAAAGTAAAATTACCCATCTCAACATTTACTCAAGTAAAAGTACAGAATTACTTCATTTAAAATGTAATTTGAGTAAAAGTTACTTAGTTACTTTGAGTTATTTAATACAAAAAAGGATGAGTCATGAATCGAATTGAGCACAAGGTGTTTTAATTGATTTCAAGGCGTATTTCAGTGGAAATCCACACCTGCAAAAGATCAGCTGGGCTAAAGAACATACTTCCTCACAGCACAAGGACAGTCACTACCTGTACCATAAAGTGCAAACTATTTTCAAACCTACTGTCCAACAGACAACACCATGATAGAAATAAAGAAATTTAAACTACATTTTAAAGTTTTCAAAATGCACACAAAATTAAATGCCCAAAAGATACCAGAAATCAAACTAAAACGCAACAGGATCCCAGTGTTATTAACAAGCTCCTCATTTAATGATTTTAACTGACACTTGTTTTACTTTAATAGGGATTTTTATCTGACACTTGTTTTTACATCAATTGCTTATATGTTTGCATTGTGTAAATAAAGTGCTGTTAAAAGTCAAAAGTAAATTTTTTTTATGGTGATTATGTGTCGGTTTAGTAACACAGGGGTTTAAATTTCCGGCCGCATTTAATTTTTTCACCACCATAATTTTTAAATTTATTTTTTTTTACTCAGTAACGTGACGGGGTTTTAAATGTAGCGAAGTAAAACTACTTAGGTTAAAATTTACTCGAGTAAAAGTAAAAATTATATATTTCAAAAATTATTCAAAAAAAATTCAAAAAAATTCAAAAATTTAAATAATTCTAGACATCTAGAATTGAATGTTGTTTTGTTTGAAATTTTCATTCTGACAAGGAAAAGACGTATTTTTATTTCAGATATCAGGAATACTCAGCAATACTAATACATATCAAATCGGCTTGCCATTAACTATTGCTACCACGATAACATTACGGGTTTATTTCTTGAATGCTGGTGGATCAATATATCTATTTAGGGTCAATCATCTGGCAGCAGGTGAGGAATCTAAAAAAGTTGTTCTAATAGATTGAACCTCATTGTCTCATGAGGTTCTTCAGTTTGATTCTTTCTTCTTTTACACAGTAAATTCTAAGTGGATGTTTGCAGTCTCTTCGGATCTTATCATCCCAATAAATGGTTGTTATTAGCGGTTATCATAGAATGGCTTCAGATTGTGCAAGTATGCTCAGTAGGTTGTTATCAATGAATGAATCCTAATCCTTGTCCCAACGTAAGTGCTTTCCCCCCCACGGAATTATTTATTCTCATGGGCGGTTCTAGACAGGGGCCAATGGGGGCCAGTGCCCCTGTAGAAAATGTCCTGACCCCTCTTATGGCCCCTGTGCTGAAGACATACAACTAAAAGAAATTCTAATGATGATATGCACTGGAACAGACATGGTTACTGATAGGTCCTTTGGATCTATTGATTTATTGATTTATTTATTTATTTATTTATCTATTTTCTTATTTAAAAACAATAAGATAATAGCTTCAGTGGAATTGAGATAGCTTCCTAGTTTTCATCTGCTTAATGTTTTTTTCAAAACAAATTTAAAAAATACTCTAAGTTTTACAGCTGAATTTATCATTTTTTTCTTGAGTTCTAATTCCTATTTTATAGAAAACAGTAATTTTAACTTAAATTAAGTCAAAAATATGTAAAATTCCTAAATGATGTATATTGGCCTAAAAAGACATACATTTTAATTAAACCTAACTGAATAGAAATTTCACTTCATGCTGCTATCTTATAATATATTTGAATCCCTTGCCGTGTTTTTTATTTCATGCTTTTCTGTGCCCCCCATGAAAACATATGGGCCCCCTCCTCGCCCTGTATCACAATTGATCTAGAACCGCCACTGATTAATCTATTTATGTTTAATCTGAAAATAATTTCAGTAGTTCTTCATGCAACGACTGTGAAAGTAAAATGATCTGGATAAACAAACTACCAACTAATCTAGTTAAAATAAATCTAATCTCCTGTCAACTGAGTTGTAGAATCATCTCTCTTTAATTACCAATTAAGAAAATGCCGATCATTCTTTAATAAGATCCTCTTTAAACGAACATGCAATGTTTGTATAAAAAAAACAACAACAATGTGTCTCAGGACCTAGTAATTGATTTTCTTATTTTATGCACAAAAATATGATCAAACTCTCTTGATTAAATCAGGAAATCAGGAGCTCTGCTCTGAGGAGAATGATTCTATACTGACTTAAACGGGTTGAATAAACTCTCTTTGTGAAACGGAAAACTCAGATTTCTCCCATATTTGGGGTTTAGAAAACTCAGTTTTCAGTAAACATGCTTTGTGAAATTTACTCTGGAAAACATTCAGATTCATTGTGTCCTTGACTCTACAGCAATCCCTCACACCTAGCATGCACCCAGAGACAGTGGAGAGAAAAAAACTCCTTTTTAACAGAATAAACCTGCAGCAGAACCTGCCTCGGTTCGAGCTGCCTTCTCCTGAGGCAGACTGCGGTTCAAGGAGAGAAACTCAGATATAGAGGAGGAACATAGAAGCACTGATCCATAAACACTTCCTATGTTTGAAAGGGTAATGGTAAACTAGCTTCATAGGTGTATCTGTCTGGGGGCTATACATAAGCAGACAATCTTTCAGCCAAGTTTTATGTCAAAGGGATGATAGAGAGCACAAGAAGAGGAGAGGGGAAAAGTGGTCCCTATGTCCTCCTGCAGTCGAACCCTATAGCAGTAAAACTACGGAGATAGCTTAGGATAACCTGAGCCACTCTATCAGCTTTATCAAAAAGGAAATTTTGAATTGTAATTTTGAAAGTAGACAGGCTGTCTGTATCACAGACTAAAACTGGTAGATGGTTCTACAGGAGGCTGGCCGTGATTCAAGAAGAGAAACTCAGATATAGAGGAGGAACAAAGAAGCACTGATCCATAAACATTTCCTATGTTTGAAAGGGTAATGGTAAACTAGCTTCATAGGTTATTCCGTCTTGGAGAAGAAATAGATAAGCAGAAAAGCTTTCAGCCAAGTTCCACATAAAAGGGATGTGAGAGAGAGAGCAAGAAGGGAAGAGGGGAAAAGTGCTCCCTTTGTCCTCCTGCAGTCGAAGCCTATAGCAGCATAGCTATAGCTGAGGATAAGCTGAGCCACTCTAGGTGTCTGCATCACACACTGGTAGATGGTTGTACAGGAGAGGAGTTTGATAAATGATGCTTGGATGCTCTCATTTCATCAGGAAATAAATGAGAGTTTTATTTCCAGCTATCCTAACTTCTTTTGCCCCACACTGCCTGCACTCTCCTCTCCACTGGAAGGTTCAGCCCCAGGTTCTCCACCTGACTCCTTCTCCTCCTCTGGTTGCCTCCATGTTTAAACATTGAATTTTCTCAGCTCCAAATGTCCGTTTGGAGACATTTGAATGTAAATGAGGTGTTTTGCTGCCTTGCTCCAGTGGAGGCTAGCTGACTGACAGCTACAGGAAGTGGGAGCAGAGGAAGAGGAGGAGGAGGAGGAGTCTGTTTGTTGACATCGGGACGAAAGCGAAAATCAGATGAGTGAGAACTGAAAACATTTTAATTTCATCCGTCATCAGGACACGAAGCTCAGGTAGGCTCCTCTGCCCAGCCGCCAGACTCCGGAGCCGGTGTGTGCCGCGGTCCGGTCCCGCTGAGCGGCTGTGATCTAGCTCAGCTGTCCGGCCGGTTCTGTTAGCTTCCTGCTAAGTTTGGCTAGTCTCAGAGCAGGAAAGTCAGCGCTAACTAGCAGCTAATTCCCCAGTGAGCTGATCTGGGGTCAGAATGAAGCAGAGGTGACCTTTAACCTTTGATAACATCACTTATTGCAGTTTGTCCGGTTCGGTTCTGCTGTTTCAGGGGAGAGTTTGGGCTTGTCAGCAGCTAACAGCAGCTACTGCAGCTAACCTGCTGCTAACAGTTCAGCTCAGTGATCAGAACAGACCGAACCGGGTCACAGAACTCCTCTGATGGTTCGGCTTTATTACATGATGGGTTTATTTAATATTTATCGGTATTTCATTTTATTTTTTAACTCTGAAACCAGATTGAGCTTGAAAAGAAGCCGATTTAAGGTGAATAATTTGATCAACATGGATGTGAACACTTTAATGACAGATCGGGTTTTTAGATCCAAGTGCTAAACTTTTAGCAGAATCTGTGTTTGGATTGAAGTTTCTGAATATTAATGATAAATGTGACGTAACAAGAGATCACTGCAACAGAACCGAGCGAAGAGTTTAAAGTTTTATCTGGATCATATGTGAGAAATGATCAAAAAGGCTCTAAACACTGAAGAGGAAGGAAGAGAAAATATTTTTCAGAAGCTTTTCTCAGTTTTTCCTCTTTAGAGACAGTTACAGCTCAGTCAGATCACATGGAGAACATCTGTAAACATCAGCTTTCCGGTCTCTACTCAGGTTCTCAGTTGGGTTTAGGTCCGGGCTTTGACTACTAGGCCATCCGTCCATATCTCAATCTGGATCTTCAGGTTGGTTCTCCTGCTGGAAAGTGAAATCCATCCATTTTCTGTCACAATGATCCCAAGCGGTGCTGGTGTCTATCTCCAGCTGTCTACAAGCGAGGCGGGGTCCACCCTGGACAGGTCAACAGTCCATTGCATAGCAACACCGAGACAAATGGGACAAACAACCATTCACGCACACCTAAGGAGAATGCGGAGAATCCAATTAACCCAGGGTCAGCAACCCAAAATGCTCAAAGAGCTATATTAGACCAAAAAAACAAAAATAAATCTGTCTGGAGCTGCAAAAATGTTAAAGTCTTTTATATGCCTTTTATGGCAACACAAGCTCTAAGCGTTTTAGCCCGCTATAAAAAAGGACAATTTAAGCTTAAATATATAATAAGGATTCATGATTAAATGTTAATCTCGAGCAAATGTCATGTAGCATGAGGTGAGGGACGAGCAGACAAGCTCTCAGCCAAGTTTCATGTCAAAGGGATGGGAGAGAGAACAGGAAGAAGAGAGGGGGAAAGTGGTCCCTATGTCCTCCAGCAATCAAAGCCCATAGCAGCAAAACTATAAAGATGGCTTAGGATAACATGAGCTATTCTAACTATCAGCTTTTTCAAGAAGGAAAGTTTTAAGCCTAATTTTAAAAGCAGAAGGGATGTCTGCATCACAGACTAAAACTGGTAGATGGTTCTACAGGAGAGGAGTTTGATAAATGATGCTTGGTTGCTCTAATTTTAGCAGGAAACAAATCAGAGTTTAATTTCCAACTATCCTGACTTAAACCTGTTCTTTTGAACCATACTGCCCGCACGCTGTACTTCAGTTTTGGCTTTTAGGAAACCTTCATAGTTCTGATTTTTTTTCTTGCACATGCATCAAGGCAGTGATGATCCCTCTTGTGTCCCGTTAGGTCGCCTGCACTGCCCGTCTTTAATCTGAGCCAGGGAAGAAGGGGCGAACATGGCAGCCAAAGCAGGAGACGACCCGGACAGCCTCATGACTCTGGCTACAGTCTTCTGCCTCAGGAATCTAAGGAAGACCATGTGCTACCAAGGATCCAGGAACAAGCTCTGCATGCGCTCCGACATCTTCCTACCGAGCGAAATCTGCGACAAACTCGTCAACACGTACGCAAACCTTTAGTCTTAATCGAAAACGGCACTGTCTGTGTTTGTTGCATGTTTTTATCTTCTCTCTCCTCTCAGGTACATGGAGTTGGTCCACTCTGACAGTAGCTTTGAACCAGAGGAGAGCTTCTTCCAGCTCTTCTCAGACCCTCGGAGCACCAGAGTGAGCCGAGTGCAGCTGAGAGGAAACTTTGTACGGGACAGAGACCTGGAGGCCATACGGAAACAGGTAAAGCTTCTGTCTAAATGCTGAGGAATACATTTTTTCGTTTACTGTAAAAGTCTGATGTGTATGCAGGCGTTAAAAGGCTCCTAAGTAGGGAATGAACCATGGATGATATGATGACACGATTTAAATAGTCACTATTATAGGAGAGGCACCGATCCAAGTCTTTCTGGCTGATATTAGCTTCTCTTTACTTTAACTTCAGTCTCACATTTCATTTTATTTTTTGTGTATATTTTAACTTAACTTAACTTAACTGGTCCTGTGTCGCAGTGCATCGAAACCATTAAAAGAATCTGTCAAACTCACCCATCAAAGTTAGGGGGCGGTTATCTAACACCTGATTGGTCACCCTGCACATTAAGGCGAAGCAAATCGATTACAGAGACTGTGATCCACAGGTTGTGAACATACTCTGATACAGTAGGTGGCGACTCGATTTGTGTTAACCCCGCCCCCTAACTTTGATGGGTGAATTTGACAGATTCTTTTAATGGTTTCGATGCACTGCGACACAGGACCATGAAATAATTAAAGGCACACTGAAATAATTATATATATATTTTTAATAAAATTAAGACGTATTTTATTAAATGAATGACACATTTATATATTCAATTCCTTATTTATTTAATGAATTACACATTTAATGAATTGTTTATTTATTTATTTGTATTTATTTATTTAATTTTGGCACTTTTTATCCTCCATATATTTCACATAGTGAGCTTTGCAATATAATTGAGTCTGTTGGTGAATGGACAATATAAATAGGCTCTGCATTGCCATGTTGGAAAAGCATGGTTATGACCTGTTCTCAGCTCAGGAACTAGGACCTGTATGATATCTGGTTGTTCAATAAGTTTGGTTAAATAAAAGATTTAGATATGACTTATCAAGATATTCCTGCAAAAAGGTCTGATGTTGCAGGGGCAGGTAATGAAAAGTGCTTGAAAAGTTCTGATGCCAGTTTGTTTCAGGCTTTATCCAGTCTCCTGTAGAAGGGCTGGTTATATCACAGGTTATTTGCATTACAATAGGGACAGTTAGCAAGGTAAGGTGAATACATAATGTTGTAGAGGGGATGGGGGATGGGACATCTAGTGTTAATTAATTGTCTTTTTGTTTACATCTTCCAGGACCTGATTGAGCTCCACCTCCCCTACTGTGACAGCCTGTCGTCTCGCAGCCTAATGACGCTCACCAGCTTCCGTGAGACGCTGGTGTCTCTTTGTCTGTTTCGCTGTAAAAACATCTTCTACAGGAAGGGCGGTCCCACGCTCGCCTGTCCCGAAGACTCCGAGGATGAGGACGAAGACGGCCGTGCCTCTCGGCAGAACTTGGAAACAGACTTTAGCTTCCACGGATTTAACCGCCTCAGGCTGCTCAACCTGGGCAGCCTGCCCGCCGATGTGAAAGTGGAGAACCTTCTCAAACCCCTGAAGTCCATTACCTCTTTGGATCTGTCAGAAGTACACTTACAGGGAACAGCTTTTCTCACTCAGTGGAGGGACAGACTGGCCTCTCTTGTTCTCTACAATGTGGACCTATCAGAGGAACTGGTTGGAACAGTGTTGGAGCTGGTTAACCTCAGGTAAGGTTCTCGCAGGGCAAAATGACTTCTTTGGTTGCTTTGAGTTGGTGGAACGGTCGAAATGTGAAAACTCATCGAAAGTTCAACTCAGATTGAAGATATTTTTTCAGTTTTTGTTGTTTTAGATCAGTTTATCTCCTCCATTAATTCTCTCATACGTTCCTTAAAGTCCAAATTTAAAGCCGTTCCTTCAGGCGTCCCACAGGGATCAATACTCGCTCTCCTGTTTTTCCTCACTTTTATTGAGCTACATCTTCACAAGTTGTTTATTAGCGCAAGCCTTCCGGTAAAGATGCTATTCAATCCAACACACTTTTTGCCTCCTTTTCAAGACACTTTATTATCCAGAAACACATTTAGAATTTCTTACCACAGTATGACGTGACAGCCAGATCATTGTGGCTCATTTCTTTCATTTTATGCCACTTGAAAAACAAAAACAATCAATAGCGGTCAAAAACTGCATGGCTGCGAGCCTCAATCCAAGAGCTCACCCGGCCCCAATACCCAACTCCAAAATATTCCAGGTGCTGCGGTCACCTGTCTGTAATGAAGGGGCAAAGGCGAGAAATGGCATCAATTATGCACAAAATACAACTAAACAATAAATTTTTTTAGAATTAATTCAACTCATACTAAGTCAAACCAAAATATTTCATGTTCATATAAGTCATAAATCTGAGAAAAACAGTAAACAAGAAAGAAAAAATATTCAAACTTACATCAAGCATTTGGCTCATGGCGTCGTTGATTAAACAGAGATGCACAATGTCCTGAACTTGATCATCTGATGTTTACAGTTGTTTACTTTTACTGCTCTGTCAGCCAATACAAATATGTTGTATCGGTCGGAAAGAGCCATCTGGAACCGTGATCTGATTCAACATATTGGCTGCATCGTCATAATCTCCACTCTGTGATTAATAGATTAGTGGTGATTAAACAGTTGTTGTTTTTTTTATCTAGTTATCAAATTTATTTTTGAGGAGTAACTGGTTTAACTTCTTAGTTTTCTTGCGTCTTTGGAAAACCTTTAGGAATTTGCAGGCTTATTTAAAGCTTTAGGAAGGTAAAATTAGCTGCTTAGATTTTGCTATCTCAGTAATAAAAAATGTTGAGTGTCTCTGTAAGCTCTTGGTGAGATCTTCAGAGGAACATGAGGTGGAGAAGGTCATGCAGAGTTTCGAGCCTGGAAATACACTTTCAAAGTAAGGTTGTGTCAAGTTATACTCTGCAAAAACCATCTAGAAATAAGTCAAAATGTCTTAAATTAAATGTATCTACCCTTAATTTGAGTATGTAAATAAGATTTATTGCCAATGGGATGAGGATATTTACTCTTAAAATAAGATAATTAGATAATATGCACTTCAAATAAGACAATGAATTTGTTTTTTCTTATTTTAAATGTGAATTGTCTTATTCCATTGGCAAAGTGTCTCACTTATCCCCTAAATTCAAGAAAAAATTCACTTATTTTAAGAAAAAATAACTTATGTAGATGTTGATCAGTCTGGTGACATTGTATCCATGATTGAGGTGATAAGACACACTTAAAGGAAACAAGGTCAGCAAGGAATGATCAATGGATCATTATCTTTACCTAAAACTAGTATGTTTGTGGTGATTTAATGAATTTACTATTAATCATTAAGAAAATCCAAACAATAATTTTAGTTGCGATCACAGAGTCTGGGAGTGGCCATTTTTGCCCAAATATAGTAACCCCTCCCTCCTGCCATCTTCCAGCAGTGACGTCACGGTGCGGTAAGCCTAGCGCCATTCTCCCCGCTTTACAAGCTAAATCAATGGGAACTACTAGACACATCTGCAATCAACAACAATTATTGAAGATTTCCAGAGGACTTCACCATTGAAATTCACCAGAGCTATAGTGAAACTGACAATGCCCACGTGCATGGCAGCTGGATGCTGGAATACATCGGGTAAAAGTGAAAAAAAAAAGAGTTATTCCACCTTTCTGATTCCTGATCCTCCACGGACGGGTTGGTCGTTGGATCGCCAACTTGAAGAGGGAGAATTTGCCATCGAACTTCTGGCCAGAGAAAAAACCCGTAATATGTAGCCAACATTTGGAAGAAGAATGTTTTCAACATGGCTTGGATAATAGCGCGTTGTGACAAACACCAGATACAGCACTGGGACTTGATCAACAGCCGATACCGCACCGTGACGTCACTAACCAGTAGGTGGCAGTAGTGTTCTTTGACAAACATGGATGCCTCCAGTAAAGCTCATTCACATGAAAATTACTCTGAATTTAAAAAAAACGTATAATTTATTGAACAGGATGGAATAATTTCTTATTTAAAGTACTTTCCGAAGTTTAATTTCTAAATGTTACCAAACTTTTCCTTTACGACACCAGAACCCCCCCCCCCCCCCCCCCCCCCCCCCCACGCTACCCATAGATGGAAAAGGAATCAATTCAGGATTGTTTATCTGTACATTTTATTAAAATATACCATTATACTATTTATACAATTCTCAATAATTAATGGAAACATGAATAATTAATTGAAACATATTTAATATTATTACAGCCATCTAACCTCCGATGGCAGACAAGCTTTTTCCCTTTCTTGGGTCTTTCCTTTGCGAGAAAGCGGTTGGAATGCCTCTGTGTCATCACCCTTATCTTTATTTCCTGCCACAGATTTTCTATCAGATTAAATCCAGACTCTGAACTGACCACACCGAACCATTAATGTTACTTCAATAATAACCTGTCAAAAAAAAACCTTAACCGGCCAGAGGTGTGAATACTTTTGGGCCTCTATGTAGTTAAATTACATAGAGAAAAATGACTTCATGGAACCATAGGGGGAATAATCCAACAAATAGTGTCTGTATTACCCAGTCTGAGAGATTATGAGTTGGTTTGATGTGTTGGAGTCCTTGATGTCAGTCATGTCTGATATTTAAATTACAAATACGCACTAAATTGCTAAGAGTTTAAGGTCAGAGTCCTTGACTCTGACCATATCCTTTGAACGGGGCCTCTCTCTTTTGTCCTGGCGTTCCACAGGGATTGGTACTTGGACAGCTTTTGTTTATTTTTCTTTGGGTATTTCTTCTTGGTTATGTCTTTAAGACTTCACCTCTGTTTCTACTCAGATGTATGCATAACATAAAAATCCCTGAAGTTTCACAGATTTCACTGTTTTGTTTTTAATGCACAAAATGAATTCAGTTCAATTCAGTTTATTTCTATAGCACCAATTCACATCATGTCATCTCAAGGCACTTTCCAGTTCACCAGATCATCCAGTCAGATTGATTCAAGTTTTCTATCTAAGGAAAACCAGTTGATTGCATCGACTCATTGACTCTTCAGCAATCCCTCACACTAAGCATGCTTGTAGCGACAGTGGAGAGGAAAAACTCCCTTTTAACAGGAAGAAACCTCCAGCAGAACCAGGCTTAGTGTGAGCGGCCATCTGCTGAGGCCGACTGGGGTTCAAGGAGACAGAGGCAGAGATACAAAAAGCAGCTGTAAAAGGGTAACCTGACTCCGCCAGATGGATTTGCTCCGCATATCCATCTGGAAACCTTCCGTTGAAGTAATTTTGGGAAGGAGCGAAAATACTGGTTAGCTGATTGGCCTATGTTGGTGATAGACGGGCCAAATAAACCAATCAGATCAACGAAGCATATGACGTACTAACAGAGCGACGACGAAGAGGAGCCAATTGATAGATCAAACTCTTGCCGAAACCAGTCGGGAGAAGAGCAAAAACATCTTTTCCTCTGAGAAAAGCCTCCAGAGCAGTGTTTTGCTCTTCTTTCAGTGAAGAAATACTCTGTAATTCCCATAAAACTTGCTCGATAGTCACGCTAACGCTAGTTTCATCGGCTGAAGCCGCCATGTTCTTTAGACTGAACTTTCGCGCTTCTCGTTGAGTCACACCTCAACCCGCCTCAAAACCAACGCTGATTGGACATTCGTTTGGTGAACGGCTCCAAATTTTCTTCAATGGAGAGTCTCCAGACTGATTAGCGAGTGAAACCTTGAAAGCTCGCGAGATCAGGATGGTCTCACGAGGCTAATAAAAGGCGGCCCCGTCCAGGAAACACACAGCCAGGCAGACGAGCTCCAAGCCAGCTTTCATGCCAGAGGATGAAGAGAGCACATCCAGCCAGTTAGTATCAGAGAAACAGGACTACACTGAAAAACAGGCCGATCTCCAACATCTAGAAACAAAGGTGTTGATGGCAGCAGCACAGCTGATATTTCTCCCCAGGATGGAGTCACAGCAGAACAGGAACAGACCAGATGAAGCTACTATGAGAAAAAGATGAATGATGAAATGGGGGTCCCCATGTCCTCCAGCAGTCTAAGCCTATAGCAGTATAACTATAGAGATAGCTCAGGGTTACATAAAAAAGGCCATGGGATGTAGAATCAGCCTAGTGTAATTGGTGGGATTGTAGTGGGAAAGAGCTGCAAAAATTAATAGTGAAAACTCACTCAGCACATTACAAACAAATGAATTGATTACAATAGTGTTCATGCAGAAAATTGTATCTTTATTAACCTTGAGCCATCTATTCAGGCTAGAGTTCCTTAGAGATCCTGTTATCCATCTATAGGTGAACAGAAACAGTAGTTTTAGATCAGAGGGCTGTTTGTAAAATAAAGATAACTATCATTTTGGCTTTGTTTAGAGTTCAGTGTCAGGTTTATATGGGGATTGTTTTTGTACCATTCTAATGATTAGAGTGTGATAGAGAAAAGATCTGACAGACATTTCTTAACTCCACTGTCATTTAAATACACTTCGGTAGTTGTTTATGCTCGTCTGAAACATTCAGTTCTCTTTCTTTGCCTCCATTTTCACTTTGGAACATGTTTGAGAGTCAGATCATATTTTAACATCATCACCTCACAGCCTGAATATGTTATAACAGGAAATCCAAGGTTAGGCAGTAATAGAAAGACATCCTTAAAGGAAAGTAGATCAACCTGTTCCTTTGGCTCCTGAATGCCTGCAGCTTGTTTCTCATCTAAAGGTTGATGTAATGCTTCATAACTTAACATTATTATCCTGGTTTTAAACTAGAAACATCTGAAGGAAACTCATTTATTTCAATACTTTGTCGATTATCTGAGAAACGTTTATAATAATGATATTAAGTAATTACAACATTGTGGCCTTCAGTTAGTTTTGCATGAATTTTTAAATAACTTCTTTGTTAGGATTAGCATCGTCTCATCACACTGAAGCTCTTCTTCATGCCCCAACATGCGTGTTCTCTTTCAGACACCTAGATATATCCAGAGAGAGCAGAAGGAATACCAAGTTTAAAATGACCAAGGAGGTCCTGACCGTCATCGTTAAGCGTCTGGTCAATCTGGTGTCCTTGGACATCTCGGGTCACATCATGCTGGACAACTGCACAGTGCCCCACTTCGAGGAAGCTTTGGGCCGTCCCAGGTGGGTATCCATCTGACGTTCGGATAAATCAAATTTTTTTCCCATCAGATAACAGACTTTGGTCTCTTTTTTCAGCACTGAACCCTGTAAAAGCAGCCTCTACCCGTTCCAGGAGCTGAAGAGGCCGCTGCAGTTTCTGGGACTCTATGATACCACACTGTGCAACGTGACTCACATCCCTGCTTATAAGGTACTGCTCAGCTGCTTTGAAGAGGGCTGAAGCTTTGGCTGATAATTTTAAATATAAAATATTTAAAATAAATATATAAAAAATGTAAAAATGCATATTTTAAAATATATACATTTTTTGTACTGCTATCATTTTAATGATATTAATAATTGTTTGTAGAAGCCATCAAAGGTCAGTGAACATTTGTTCATTCTGAAATGATAGTGGCACAAACGAACATTTTTGCTGCACAAACGTTTGACACCAATTTTGTCTAATTCGAAGAAGGTGGGGGGGCTGGTTGACCTTTTGACCTTTACATTTTCATTAATATCTTCAAAGCCAAAGCAGCACAAACAAAATGTTTTGCTGCACAAACGGAGCTGAGTTAATTGACATCCATTTCGTCTGATTTTGAAGAAGGCGGGGGGGCTGGTTGACCCTTGATGACCTCTAGAAACATTTCTTTATATCTTTAAAATGATAGCGGCACAAACAAAATTTTTTGCCAACTTCACTCAGGTCCCCAAGGGGATGGGTTAAATGCATTTATTTATTTATTTTACTTTAATAAAACCAATGTATTCTTTATTTTTATTTTTTTATTGAAATTTTTATTTGGAAAGGCAAGTTACAATTACTTTGTACATTCAAGCTTCCACCACAGTGGAAATATGGGAAAGAACAACATAAGCCGATCCAGAGTTTTTGTATAATAGCCAAACATCTATAACTGAAAAGCAAGGGAGTGGGAACATGAGGTCTGATTAAAATGTTCCTTATATTTGGGGAAAAGCACAATCCAGGACATAAGCCTGCCAATAGGGTACAATACACAGCACAATGGTATTAGCATGTGATAAGATAAGTTTAGATCACAGGGATTACTGATTTTACATAGTTTGTCCACTTAGACCAGGGGTCGGCAACTTTAGCGGCTCTTTAGCCTTCCCCTTGTGGCTCCCTGGAGCTTTTTAAAAAATTTATGAATATCGATTTTTTTTTTTTTTATATGGTGTGCAGGTTGTAAACAAAAATTAATGTTTTCCAATGCTTTAGAAATGTGTATTATAAATAAATTTAAACAATAATTTGTGTTAAAGCCATAGAGATCAGTGATCATAACTTGGAACCAGCGTGGCTCGGTGCCAGGCTAACACAGCTGCAGGTGTGTCTCGGAATATGAATCCCAAAGGGAAAAAAAGGAAGATTGCTGATGAGAAAAGAGGATTCAAATAGGCCGACTCATCTGCTTTCATTACAATGCTGAACGATTGCCTGCATTTTCGCTTTGTAATGAGAGGTTGTCAAAAAACAAAAAAGAAAAATGTGGAAAGGCATTTCCAGGGAAAGCTAAATCTGCAGCCCACCACCAAGCTGGGAGTGAGAGAAAAAGTGCGATTGCACGATAAATTAGAAGAGCGCAAAGATAGATTTAAGAAGTGGATTGCTTTTCCAAACTCCACTACTGCTGCTAGTTTTGTTGCAATGATGGAAAACCGTCCACAGATCAAACAGGCAGCGCTCTGATGCAGGGATGGGAACTTTCTTCCATTTTTTCCCCCAAATCCTAAAAATATTAATCAGACCAAGGAACAATGGTGACGGAGGATGTGGGATTTCGGGATTAGAGAGCACAGCTCTGATGTCACTTCCTGCTTGGTTCCTCATGACTCAATAAACTCCTCCCAACAGAAACACAGAAACACCATAGAAAGGTTCCTTTAATGTGTTTCTATAATTATAAATGCTCCTCCCTCACCTCAGGCTACTATGTGACATTTGCTTCAGGATAAACATTTAATCATGAATGCTTATTATATATTTAAGCCCACATAGTCCTTTTCTATAGTGGGATAAAACACTTAGAGCCCAAGATGCCATATGAGGCATATGTAAGGCTTTTACATTTTTGCAGCTGCAGACAGATTATTTTTTATTTTTTTTGGTCCAATATGGCTCTTCTAGCAGTTTGGGTTGCCGACCCCTGCCTTAGACTGACTCTCTGGGTCCCTGAGCAAGACCCTTAACACCAGACTGCTCCCCAACTCAGCTCACTGCCCCCCAAGCGGATAGGTTAAATGCATTTACTTATTTATTGTACTTTAATAAAACAAATGTTTTAGAGTTACAAACTTCCTTCATCCAGAACAAATCTGGGTACAATCTGGAAGAAAAATGCTAACTCTAGGAAACATTTAAAATCCAAATAAAAAAAAAAAAAGGATAAAAAGAAAGTCCTTTAAATCTTTTCTACATTTTGGTTGAAATAGTGGAACAAAACTGGATAGAAGAGCATGGAGGTGGCTTAAATTCAGTCTGGTTTTAATACATTTTTAGAGGGATTTTCAAATTAAAAGAATAATTTAGCAATTGTAAAAAACCAAGACAGGTCTTGCGATCTTTTAATAAAAAATCAAAATGGGATCAAAAATCTGGAACAAATACTGAATAAAACAAAGATTGAACTCATAACTTATTATTGTAGTAAAAAAAGTAGGAAAATAATGCAACTAAATTTCAGAATAAATGCAGAACGATGAAACAAGATGAAACCAAAATAAATTGAAGGTAAAATATATAGGAGTATGTGTAAGAGAGCGACTTTTTCACTCCAGCCCTGAAGTTTGTTTGCCGCTACAGAGATTAAAATAGAGTTGCAATCAGAACACAGGTCCATGCATGCAAATTGAATTGCCTTTGTCAGATCAAGTGCATGCAATGCTGTTTACTCCATTTTCTGCCTTTATTCACATTTTCTTTGAGTTGTTTGTTTTTAAATCGAGAATTGAATTAAGTTACATTTTATCATCTAAAAGAAGGAATCGGACCCCAAACTAATCGGCTGCACATATCTGGGATCCACTGGACTGATCTAAACAAACCCGTGTCGATTGATCTCTAATCGCACCCTCCTGTTGCTCGGCGCCCTCTCAGGTAACCGGATCAAAGAATGAAGAGCAGGTTCTGAACGCCATAGAAGCCTACACAGAGTTTCGTCCGGAGCTCGCCCACAGAGCCATCAACCAGCTGTTTGACATCGCCCGGATACAACACTGCAGCCAGCTGCTGCGAGCCCTGCAGGTCAGAACCTGGACCCACACGTCTGATTTCCAGCCGCCTCGCTGCCTCAGACTGTTAGTTTGTTTCTGCTCTTTAACAGCTGGTGATCGCCGCTCTGAAGTGCCATAAATACGATAAGAGCATCCAGGTGACGGGCAGCGCCGCTCTCTTCTACCTTACCAACACGGAGTACCGCAGCGACCAGAGCGTGCGGTTACGCCGGGAGGTCATCCAGGTGGTTTTGAACGGGATGGAGCAGTACCAGGAGGTCACTGTAAGTCAGATGGTTCCGTTGGGTAGAAAATCTATAGTTTGATCTGCTTTCAGTGAGCGGATGTCTTTCCTCCGGTTGAAACTTCTCCATATTCTCGCTTCAGGTCCAGAGAAACTGCTGCTTGACTTTGTGTAACTTCAGTATCCCAGAGGAGCTGGAGTTCCAGTACAGCCGGGTCAACCAGCTGCTGCTGAAGATCCTGGAGCCGGCCCGGCAGGACGAGTCCATCCAGAGGATCGCCGTTCACCTCTGCAACGCTTTGGTCTGCCAGGTGGACAACCACCACAAGGAGGCTGTGGGGAAGATGGGCTTCGTCAAGGTAACTCCATCACCTGGATATCCTGTCTTTATAACCTCAGGAGGATTTAATGTGTGCTTCTGGAAGATGAATTTAGATAAAAACCTTGCTCTGATGAAGGTTGGAAATGTGAGATATGGATGTTCCTAAAGCCCCATTTACACCGCCTTTTTGAAACCGTGCCGAGATCCGAGCACGATAACTGAGATAAATGTTGATTGTAAATGGAATGCAAAACTGAACCTAACCGTGCCAGATGCAACCTAACCGTGCTAAACTGGCACTAGTTCATCTCCCGACAGTCAGCCTCTTTAATCATGCAATTTCAAACATTCATAAAAATCCTCGCTTCCCTAATATGAGACATGATTTCCAGTCATGATTCTGCTTAGCAGTGTGATGAACCTCAACGTCTGTCGTTGTTTCCTGCATCTGTATCCCCCCGATTAGACGATCGTTTGTCGTATCCACTTCCCAAAAGCCGACTCTGTTTAGTAAATTCACCAAAGGCTGCCTTCGTCGCCTGACTCTCCGCAAACCTTCTGAATGTTACGGGCGCCTCCATGTTGGTTCCCACTAGAGAGCAGTAGTACCGTAGATCGTCACTAGCATGGTGTGTAAATGTTCGTTAAGAATCTAGCTCGGCACGGTAACTGATCCTAGCTGGGTCCGAACTTTCACTCGGTTCTGAATCAGAGTGAAACATGATACATTCTGTATTTAAAGCATGAAAAACTGACAAAAGCAGAATTTAATCAGCATAGATGTGGATACATGGTGGATACAAGTGGATGCATGAAACCTTTCAGAATATATTTGAAGGATGTTGCTGTATAAGAATAAATCCTTTCTGTGATCTTTGGAAACTACAGAGAAAATTGTTTAGTATTAATCTAAACTATTAGAGAGCTCAGCTTTTATTTTATAGGAATCTCTCAGCTTTATTTTGAAAGTCCAAATCAACACCTCTTCCAGGTGGTTGCTATGGTGATTCCCTACTATTCCATACTGTCATCAGATGATCAGTGGAAGCAGTTTTAAGGAAATTCAGAACTGGGATCGTTGGACCTTCTGGGTCCAAACCTTGAGATGTTTCTGTAGAAGATCTGAGCGGTTAAACAGAACTTTGAGGTTCAGATTTGAAAGAGCTGAAATCTGTTGAGAGGGAGTCTAAGGCTTAATCCCAAAACCGGCCCCTAAACTCTAGTCCTATTTTTACGTGTTCCCGCAGAGGGTCCGACCATTCAGCCCTTAAATAGCGAGTCTGCATCGGTGCAGACTCACTGGAATATGGCATCCCACTGACAGAAAAATCACAAATTAGGAGAAAGAAAAAAGACGTCTTTGGTCCCTAAATGGAAGGTCGTCTTTGAAATAGTTTTATTTGACTGGATAGATTTATTTTTAAGAAAGGGGCAAATGTGCTACAGCCATTCCCATACGGCATTACGGTGTCGCCATAGGAACGACTGATTTCCCTTTCCGTTGGAGGGAAGAGGCCACCCCATTCACATTTATACCCCCCACGCAATCTAGGCGCCTTCCACATCTGCGAGGGTGACTTTACTGTGACCTTAGAGTAGGGGTGGAATGGTTCACAAAATCCACGGTTCAGTTCGGTTCACGGTTTCGTGGTCACGGTTTTCGGTTCGGTATATGTTGATTGTTAGCATGACATGTTGGTCATGTTGCTGTTAGCATAAACAAAACGTGTTGCACAATGCTTGCACACTGTTGCACTTTTATCCAACACTTTCTTTCCGCCGTCATCGTAGGTCACTCTAAATGCAAAGTGGTCCCATACAGCAGACCTATAAAGTGCTGCTGGCGCGTCTTCCAACTCCTGTTCTTTCCCATTCGCCATACCCACACAATTCTCCACAACAACTGATTTTTTTCTGCTACACCCGGCTACGCTGCTTCGCTTCTTCTTGTTTACTACTGGCGGTTGGCTTTGGTCGCAGTACCGCCACCTTCTGCTCTGGAGTGTAAACGCTTCGCCTATGAGAAAAAGGAGCAGCGTATGAACCGAACGCAACACACACGAACCGAACCGAGACAGTCGAATCGAACGGTTCGGACGGTTTTCATAAACCGTTCCATCCCTACTTTGGAGTAACACTTGATAGTGAAGGGTTAGTGGTTAGGGAGCGATTTGGGATTCAGCAAGAGTGAGGTTTGGTCTCACTGGGCTCCAATTGTATAAAATGTAAACTCTTGAACCAGATCCATATTCCAGAATAACTTTGACAGGAAAAACGTTTTGCCCTTGGTTCTGTGCTCTCATCCTTCCAACTGGTGAAAAATGAAAATTCGGCAGTTGGTTTTGATCTGAGAGGGTAAGAACTGATGGTGGGACTTTCAAAATTGGTAAGATTTTCTGTGATACAAAAAGAAATAACGTCACCAAAACTTTTATTAATAAAATCATAAATAAACAAGTTTATCTAAAAAGAGCTATTTTTAAATGTTGACTATATTCATACAGAAAGTGCATTAAACGTGCTGCTTTCTGTTAACCCTGATAATTCTAGCTTATGGCAAATAAAAAAAAAACCTTTGGTTTCTCGGTATGTTTTAATATCAGAACAGTCACAAAATATTCTTACTACTACTATTACTTGTGTTCTACAAAGAACATTTGGAAGATATAAGCTGCAGACGCTTACTGCTAAGGAATTGGTTGTTCATGCTGTAACCAAGCATGTTAATGGAAGGTTTAGTGGAAGAAGAAACTGGTGAAGATCAATGAAATCAAATTTTTGTAATTGATAATTCTTTGTAATATTTTAAGAACAGATATTCCCTTAACCACCAGAGCCACAGTATGTGTGGAATGAAGCTCCGACCAGTTTTTAAGATGTTTTTAAATGAATCTTTTTCTCTTCTCAGACCATGCTGAATCTAATCCAGAAGAAGCTGCAGGACAGAACTGTGAGTCTCCATCTTATTAAGACCCACTGCCTGTTTTTAGAGCTTGTGTTTAGGAGGTTTCTGATGTTTGTTTCCATTCAGTGTGACCAGGTGATGGAGTTCTCCTGGAGCGCGCTCTGGAACATCACAGACGAGACACCAGACAACTGTCAGATGTTCCTGAACTGCCGTGGGATGAGTCTCTTCCTGGAGTGTCTGGGGGTGAGTCCTCATCTTTATTTCCATAAACGGGGATGACTTGGAGTAGATCTGAGCTTTCAGTATCTTACCTGATGGAGAAGTAATGCCAGATTGGTTCTGCCCAACAGGAGTTTCCAGATAAGCAGGAGCTTCACCGTAACATGTTGGGACTTCTGGGAAATGTTGCAGAGGTGAAATCTTTGAGGCCACAGCTGCTGACGCCACAGTTCATCACTGTCTTCAGGTAAGAACGCTCAGCCTACCTTGAGCAACTGTGTAATTCCCAGAAACAATAAAATATGTCTGATAGCTGAGGAGGCACTCCGTTTATAATAAAATAACCCTCATCGGCTGATTTCCTCCTGCTGTTTGATGCAGTTACCTGCTGGAGAGCAAAGCCGATGGGATCGAGGTGTCCTACAACGCATGCGGAGTCCTGTCACACATCATGTTCGACGGTCCTGAAGTTTGGGCGATGGAGGAGCCGAAAAGAGACGCCGTGATGGACAGAATGTGGAAAGCAATCCAGAGCTGGGATGTCAGCTCGCGGCGAAACATCAACTACAGGTGATGGTTTTTACTGCAGGTTGATCAGGAATGATGCAGGCATCACATCAGCTGTTAGCTTAAGGATCATGATGGTAGTGTTAGCATAGCTGTTAGCTTCAAGATCATACTGTTATGGTTAGCCTTACTGTTAGCCTAAAGATCATGATGGTGATATTAGCCTAGCTGTTAGCCTAAATATCATGATGGTATGGTTAGCTTAACTGTTACCCTAAAGATCATGATGGTGGTATTAGCTTAGCTGTTAGCCTAAGGATCATGATGGTAGTGTTAGCATAGCTGTTAGCTTAAAGATCATAATGTTATGGTTAGCCTTACTGTTAGCCTAAAGATCATGATGGTGATATTAGCCTAACTGTTAGCCCAAAGATCATGATGGTGGTATTAGCCTAGCTGTTAGCCTAAAGATCATGATAATAGTGTTAGCCAAGCTGTCAGCTTAAAAATCATGATGGTACTGTTAGCATAGCTGTCAGCTTAAACATCTTGATTGTAGTGTTAGCTTAGCTGTTAGCTTCAAGATCATGATGGTGCTGTTAAGCTGGCTGGTAGCCTAAAGATCATGAAAAAATATTGTTAGCCTAGCTGTTATCCTAAAGATCATGATAATAGTGGTAGCCAAACTGTTAGCTTAAAGATCATGATGTCGGTCTTAGCCTAGCTATTAGCCTAAAGGTCATGATGGATGTGTTAGCCTAGCTGTCAGCCTAAAATTCATGATGGATGTGTTAGCCTAGCTGTCAGCCTAAAAATCATGATGGAGGTGTTAGCCTAGCTCTCAGCCTAAAAATCATGATGGAGGTGTTAGCCTAGCTCTCAGCCTAAAAATCATGATGGAGGTGTTAGCCTAGCTCTCAGCCTAAAAATCATGATGGAGGTGTTAGCCTAGCTCTCAGCCTAAAAATCATGATGGAGGTGTTAGCCTAGCTGTCGGCCTAAAAATCATGATGGTAGTGTTAGCCTAGCTGTCAGCCTAAAAATCATGATGGAGGTGTTAGCCTAGCTCTTAACCTAAAGATTGTTGTGGAGGTGACATTATTTTTTTTCTGATTTTTTTACATTTTATCCTGCAGGTCATTTGAGCCGATCCTCCGCCTCCTTCCTCAGGGTATCGCGCCTGTCAGTCAGCACTGGGCCACGTGGGCTCTTTACAACCTGGTTTCGGTTTACCGTGAGTATCTGCTTGGTTTCAATCTGTGATAACCTTTATGAGCAGAACTGCTCTTAGGAGGACAATGTTAAACATGTTCCAGCTTATAAAGCAGATTTGTGTTTGATAAAACACTTTGATGTTGTACAAAAAGCTTATTGGACAAATTTCTTCACCTTAATTACCTCGTTGAATTATTTCTCACAACTTCCTTCATATTAAGTTGATGTGCTCATTTGATTCAGATCTAACTGTATTGTGCATGGGACTCATTCTATGGTTTCATTTTTATCAACAGCGAGCAAATATTGTCCGCTGCTAATAAAGGAAGGTGGAGTTAGCCTTCTGGAGAAAGTCCTTGAACTGGAAAGTTCAAAACCAGAGACCAAGGAGATGGCCAGGTGAGCAAGAGTCCCTTCATTTTGCTCTAAAACAACAGCGTCATCTGCATAGAGATGAATCAGCAGCAGTCATTCCAAAGGTCTCACTTTCTGTTCCCGGTACTCATCCTAAAGCTTCAGGCTTAACATGCATTGATCTGCAGGTTTCCACTGAATTATCACAGCTGCAGTACATTTACTACACAATTCAAGGCTTCAATAAAACAATATAATCTGCAGTAGATGTCATTCTATATCAGCTCCCATTTTTTTCACTGTGAGAGAGGAATAAAACATTTACACCATTTTTACATCTCATTTCATGTCGTATAACGATGAACTGGAGTGGGTTTTATGTGACAGAACAAGTCGAAGTAGGACACAACTTTAGTGAGAAAGAGAAACCATTCATAGGCTTTGAAGGCAGACACTTCTCACTGGTTCTGTTTCTCTTTGGACTCTCATAACTAGCAAATTCAACGAAGACGCTGATCAACCAATCGGGAGAAGACTGGGAAATGAGACAGTGTCATGCTTACGGAAGAGGATTAGGGCCACTGAAAAAAAAAAAAAAAGTTTACTGATTTTAAAATTTTATTTCAACTTAGTATTGGAAAAAATGTAATCTGACTTTAATCTCAGAATTCTGACTTTTTTCTCAGAATTCTGACTTTAATCTCAGAATTCTGACTTTTTTCTCAGAATTCCGACTTTTTTCTCAGAATTCCGACTTTTTTCTCAGAATTCTGACTTTAATCACAGAATTCTGACTGAATTCTGACAATAAAAAAAGTCAGAATTCTGAGAAAAGTCAGAATTCTTAACTGAAATAAAATGTAAAAATCAGTTACATTTTTCTTTTCCCACTGGTCCTAATCCTCTTCTGTACATGCTATTAAGACAAAAGAAGAAAAAATATAAAATCCTTAAATTTATTCTTAGCATGTCCTGTAATTCCAGAACTAAATTAATTAAACTAATTTAAATGATCAATTACTGCACCGGCTGTACTTTTAGTACAGGACACAGGATTTTATATGAAGACTAAAGCTGTGAAAATGTCTTCCTTTATTTATTTTTCTGATGTAAAATGTAATGATTTAAATCCACAAAATAACATAACTCATTGCTAATTATGTCATTTATTTATCGTGTGTTTTTATTACTGCTGTCACTTATCTTGATGTAGAAACTGAAGAAATCTTCTATTATTAAGGATTAAAAGTTAAATCTAAATCTCTCACACCAGGTAAAGTTGATCAATTCAAACATTTGGATTGTATGGAAAGCCATAGGTGCCAATATTTTAATTAAATCAAGGAGGAAATATTTTAATTTGGATTCAAACATAAATTTTTAATGATATTTGAGATGCAGTTATCAAATTAATGAAACTAAAATAATTAAATAATGTATTTCGTTTAAATTATTACTTATTTTTAATTAAATGTATTTACTTTCTGACCATGTTTTACAAATAAAATTTATTCTTGCTAAAAAAAAAATTTATAAATTCAGATGATCTGCAGCTGACTTTCTTTATGAGGAAGGGAAGCAGAGAAGTTCTTAAAATGTGCATTTTTATACACACTTTATAAATGCATGCCACACTTTTCAGATTCCATTTAAAGATGATAGAATCCATCTTTAACTTTACATCGATGCTCCCGCTGTGTTGGTCTGCCACTTAAAATGCGCTCTAGTTTTTGTTAGAATTTTAGCGAATCTGAAAACGTTCATCTAGTGACGCCGTTGATGCTTCTTGTTTCCAGGAAAGTCATGGAGCATTGTGAGAAATTCAAGGACGACCCGATGGAGACGAATAACGGCCAGGATGTAAACTACGGACAGAGAGGCTGACGGCACAGGAACCGCGACTCCCAGTTAACACGTTTGAAGCTAACCGACCGGAGGAGCCTCCTGCCGTTCGTCACCGACGGGGTTAATCGTTTGCTTTCTTTCAAATTTTTCCTCTTGTTTGGTAGAGCAGAAGGTTTTCTGGACTAAACCTGAATGTGTGACGCATGACAGGAGCTGCCTTGTTTAGTTGGGAGGGGGCTGCACATCTCTTCAGCTGGGTTGGGGGACTGTTCTCTCTGTGTGTGTGTGTGCGTGTGTGTGTGCGTGCGTGTGCGGAGGACTTAGCAACACAGATATACAGTTCTCAGATGGGACTAAGACGTCCCTCCTCTGTTAACGCCTCTGAACTGTGGATCCGGCTGCAGCGGCGCCGGCGGCCCGGCGGTGGACTCGATTGTTATATATGTAAATATTCAGCGTGGGTCTCATCCTTTTACTGTGTGGATGTTTTATAATAAGGCTGTAAACACTCACGATTTCACTCCGTATTTAAATCAAACCGATCTGCTGTCAGAGCCGAGGACCAGGACCCACTGAGGTTCTGGATCTGACCCAGATGGCATCTCTGATCTCTGCTTTTCTTCTTACGGCGGAGATAAAAACGCCTAAAATCCAAGTATTCAGGAGTCAGGAACCCAAACGGACCAACAGAAACGACAGTGAAGGCAACAGAAGAAAGTTCTCATCATGTGTTTTTAATTTTTGTATCAGTTTCTCGACCCATAAACAAAATAAAAACTTCTGAACCGGAACCGTGAGTTCAACCAATCAGGAGAAGCTTCCTCTGCTGCGTCTGCAGCAGTTGGGGGGGGGGGGGGGTTGTTCGGATCACTGCTTCCTTTATATTTAAACCTCAGATAAAAATCCACCGTTAATAAACTAGAAATCATATCAGAACAATTGATTCCTGGAAGAATCTTCACTTTAAGGTCGAACTGAGCAGTCACTGGTTTCCATGGTGATTCCCGCCTTTTCTTAGAATGGAGGAGATTTCTAATGATGACTGGAAAAACATAAAGATTTCTGGAGAAACTCCTGGAATTGTGAGCAGGAGAACCGCTCAGCTGAACCGATTGGAGGTTTTTATGAGTCTGCAGCGTTTTCTGTTATAGATCTGACAAACAGAATCTCTAGGTTTAGTTTCTACAAATAAATGTGGGAGTGAAGAAAAATAAACCTGGGATTCCTTTAGCGGTGGGAGGCGCTCTGGTTCTGAAGGTTTAATCTTTGAATGATGGTTCTGATGGAAGGTGTAGCCGGGGTATGGAAGTCCAAACAGAACTTCTTCAGTTTGACTCCGGGAACAAATTTTCAGTAATAATGTCGTCTAAAATGAATAACCCAGAATATTTGGGATTAGGATGAAACCAAGATGGAGGCCAGTGTGTTTGTTTTAGCTCGATGTGAAAGAATGAAACAGAAAGGATGTTGCTGATGACTAAAAACGATTGACACTGAGAGGTTGTCTGTCAGTTAGTTTAACTCGGTCAGATTAAGTTAATCTTAAATTCTCCCTCCATGGATTTCCTCCAAATCAAGTCAATAAAACTACAGTTCATCATGTCTGGAAGTAAAATGTTTTCTTTCTGATTCCCTTTCATTGGCTCTCATGTTTTAACCTACTTCCTGTATCGGCTGTGGTTCTCCTGGTTCTGATGTGCAGCTTTTCTCTGATTTAATCCAATCTGGTTTCTGGTTTTTTATGGCTCCAGTCGGGCTTTTATTAATCCCTGATCAGGTGTTAGCTGAGAGCCGCCATGATCAAATGTTTCTGTGGAAGAGCCCTGCGCCGCTTTTGGACCCAGAGGAAGCCGAGGAGCGCTTTCAGTCTCCTGTTCCGTCTGATTTGAATGTTTTATTTCGTTTCTGTTTTAAGACGAGCTCGACTGTTTTTGATTATTTATGAAAAATAAAAAACCAGCTCCTGTCACATTCACACTTTATCTGATGATGTTTCTCTGAATGATTTATTCTCTTCCTGCTGAGGAGTTTGGTCTGAAACGGAGTGAACAACAAATGTTGCGTTTCTCTTGATCTCAGTAGCTTCACGAACTTTAATGTAAAAATATGAATAAGCAATAAACATGGAGTGGTTAAATGAACTGGTGTTGGGTTTTATGTTCAGGAGGGAGTAGCATGTTATTTTAATCTAAATAAGATATAGATTTTTACATATTATGATTACAAGCAGTGTTCTACATATTCTATGTTCTAGATGTTTCTTCACTACCATTACTGCATTAACTCCAGAATCCCCTTTTAAAAGAAATAACAAATATGACTTAGATGATAAACAATAGATGGTGTTTATTACTGTGGATTCAGTGATGCTCAGAACTTTTCATTTCAATTCAGTTTATTTCCATAGCGCCAATTCACATCATGTCATCTCAAGACACTTTCCAGTTCACCAGATCATCCAGTCAGATTGATTCAAAGTTTTTTATCTTAGAAAACCAGTTGATTGCATCAACTTATTGACTCGAATGCAATTCCGCACTCTAAGCATGCTTGTAGCGACAGTGGAGAGGAATAACTCCCTTTTAACAGGAAGAAACCTCCAGAAGAACCAGGCTCAGTGTGAGCGGCCATCTGCTGAGGCCGACTGGGGTTCAAGGAGGCAGAAGCGGAGATAGAAAAAGAAGCTTAGATACAAAAAGCATCTGTAAAAGGCGGTCCCGTCCAGGAAACACACAGCCAGGCAGACGAGGTCCGATTCAGCTCCCATGTCAGAGGACGAAGAGAGCACATCCAGTTAGTCACAGTCAGAGAAACAGGACAGCATTTCTTTAGGTTATACCACTAGATAGTGGTATAACCTAAAGAAATGTCATGAAGCAAATTTATTTTGTCATGCTGACATAAAATAAAATTTAATATATGATGTAAAGCGACAAACATATTTTGGATATGAGAATGTTTACAAAGTAATGGGAGTAAAATAAAATCAATAGCAGGAGCATTACTTGTCTGACTTTTAAAACAAAAATATTTTAAATAATTAACGCTATAAAAGTCTGAATAACTTCCAGATTTATTTTAAGATTTTAAGATACTAAATTGGGTTTTAGCTCAGCCTTAAACTGAGACTGCATGACTCAGGGTGCTGTCTAAACTCCCATCCATCATGGACACCACCTTCCACCCTCTGCACCAGACTGTAGAGGAGCTGAGCAGCTCCTTTAGTTAAAGACTTTTACACCCTGTTTGTAAAAAGGAGCGCTACTGCAGCTTATTCATCCCTGCTGCAACCAGACTCTACAATGCAACACTACACAGTAATAACTTGTGCAATGTTTAATGTGCAAATACTATTTGATACCCTGTGCAATAACTATATTTATACATATAAAGAACCATTTATATAAATACCCATGTTCCATAACACTGTATAATAATACTACTATCATACGTGGACGCACTTTATACTGTATATATATATGCCATGCACCTTTTTTATTCTCCTTTGACTATTTGAGCTGATGTAACGAGTACATTTATTCACTGTGAGATCAATAAAGTCAATCACTTAAGGCACTCTGACTAAAAGGTTTTTAAGAAACCTTTTTAACATTTTAAACCCTTAGACAGAGTGTCTGCAGCACAGACTATAACTGGTAGCTGGTTCCACAGAAGAGGAACATGATAATTAAAGATCTTTTATCAGAACTCTGACTGCTGCAGTTTGGATCAGCTGAGGGCTTCTATGTTTGAACAACAGTTGCTTAAGTAAACACTACAGTTTGTGTCTTGGTGTGTTATTGAATCTGTCACACAGTTTCATCCACTGTTGGTAAAAGCAGTGCTGCTGTGACATTTGAATAGAATAGAAATTCCCTTTATTGTCCCACAATGTGGAAATAAATTCTGAGTGTTTACAGCAGCAACAACAAAAAAAATTTTTTTGGTCACACAAATGTGGACCTTAGATAAATATATAAGAATAACACACTAGTGAAGATTTAAAAGATAAAGAATAAAATACTGTACCGTAAAGTGTTTAACAATATATTTTTTTCCATCTAAAAATATAAACAAAGCCTCTGCAAGTGAAATATTGGTTTTCTATAATCCTTCCAAAGATATTTGTAAAATAAAATAAATTATCCCTTTTTTTTTAGATGTTTTAGACGTTTAGTATGACGTCACTGAGTTAGAGATCCCAACACCAACTGAATTCTTGTATCTTTTATTTTTTTATTTCTTTAATAATTTTTTTATATATATATATATATATAATAAATAAATTAAATTAAAAAAATAAGTACACAAATAATAAATAAAAGAAGAAAAAAGACCGACGTATTGCTACGTTTGGTCCTCGACGCTCTCCGTAGTTCAGTGTCGCCTGCTGACTGTGAAGGCGGAAGTTCCGGCAGGCTAACTTCCCTGTGTCCAATAATTCATTCCTGCTTTCTGGATCCAGCTTAATCAGTGCAGACATGTCTACCGCCTACAAGAACAGGTGAGTTCTCCTCCTCTGCTGCCATTCAAGGCAAACTGGGAGAATAAAATCAAATCTATTTTAAACCGCACAGAAATCAATTAGCTGAAGCTAACAGCTGCGCTAACCTAACAAAGGCTAACTTCAATTTTAGATATAAGTGATGCAACTAACCGGTCTGTAAAAAACCTGAACATGTTTCGGTCTTTATCCCCAAATAATAAAAACTATGTGATGTTTTTAAGGGTTGAAGTTTGGCCCCATTAGCTGCCTGTTAGCAGATCAGCTGACTGCGTGTTTCTGTCAGAGACAAACAGGAGGCATCAGTGTGCAGATAAAGAGCTGCTGGCTGAGCATTAAATCGGGTTAACTCACACTGAGGCTCATGTGTGCAGCTCTGACACTTTAAACCGGATTCCCTGCAGCACTCACACACCTTCTTTTCCACACTAATAGTCTGTGTCGCTAAATTTAGGATAAATCTACAGAAATCCAGCAGTTTAACCCTTTAGAGGACACTCAGTGAAATCCAAAATCCAAATTTCAAGCCAATTGTGTTATTGGAATACAAGATAACACCTTATTACCATTGTAACATTAAAAAAAAGGATATTTTGATGGTAAAAATTAATGTCAATATAATAACAATAAACGCCATCTTGCCCGAATATATTAAGAAAAATTTAAAAAGTGCTACTATAAGACATTCATGAAAAACACTTCCAGAGTGAAAGAAACACATTTTATTTTGGTATAACATACCCTTATTATTATTATTATTATTATTATTAGTATTATTATTATATAAACCCTAATGCTGATACTGGCACTGACATCTTTTAGTTTATAAACCTAATTATAATTGTTAACTAGGCTTTTAACTTTACTTTTTAACTTTTCAATTAGATTTTTACCTTTTTCTTCTTGACTTTGTAACTTTTTTTCCTCCAACTTAATTTACATGAGCTCATCTAATTGGTCAAATGCCAAAATAAGATGTGCAGACATGTAGCAGCATCTTTGCTGAACGGCTGGATATAGACCTTGTGCTTCTAGACCTCACTGAGGGACGGGGGAGGGGGACTCCAGTTGTAAGGGTTAAGCAAGTGATTAAAAACGCTTACTTGCTCCATAAAGGGTAAAGTGAAATGGTTTTGCAATAATATAAATTTTCTATATTTATGGTTGGACAAAAATATTCCTATGATTTCTATTTAAAGCCATTATGAATAGATTATGAGTCATCGCTTCAGATTACATCAGATCTGTATGATCCCTCTTTCTGTGCTTTAAACCAGCGGTCCCCAACCTTTTTTGCGCCACAGACCGGTTATATGTCAGATAATATTTTCGCGGACCGCCCTTTAAAATATGGGGGTAAATACGATCAGATAAAATGATACGACTGGCATAAAATCAAATACAAACAGCATAAAAATAAAACTCACCATTATGTTGAAAAAGTGGGAGCCCTGAGCTTGTTTCTCCGAAACAAACCGGTCCAATCTAAGCGTAATTGGAGACAATGACACATGAAGTATGCTCCTGATGTCCAGTCTGCTCCGTAGCTTTGTTTTGGTCGCTGTAACCACAGAAAATCCCGCTTCACAGATAGGATGTTATAGATAGGATGAGTCTTGACCTGAATTAACCTTTGTCCAGAGGCACAGATGCACAGACTGATGTAATTGGGAGAGAATACCCTGATGTTTTGTATTTTTCAAAATAAAACACGACTCAGACTCTGATCGTCAATAAATTTTATATATATATATATATATATATATATATATATATAATTTTTTTTAATTTATTTTTTTTATTTATTGTTTGTCTGTGTGGCCCGGTACCAAATGACCTACGTACCGGTCCGCGGCCCGGTGGTTGGGGACCGCTGCTTTAAACTATTCATCAGTAAATATCTCCATCCATCAAAACATCTTCCTCACTCTCCTCCTTTTTACTCTCTTTCTTTCTCTAACTTCTGAACATGTAATAAAAACTGAGCGACATCTCGGCTGCAGAGATTCTGTTCCAGCTCCAGATTAAACTGTTTCTGATCCAGTAACTTTCTGTAATTTAATCTATGCCATCTCCCTCCTTCTCACTTCAGAATCCAGGAGTTCAAATCGGCGTTGGCAGAGGACACCATCAACCTGACGGCTCTCAGGGAGCTGAGCTTCAGCGGTAAACTTCACCTCCACTCGGTCTGATCTCTGCTTTCATTGGTCTCATCTGATTCGGGTTTTCTTTGTGTGATGCAGGAATTCCTCACGAGGAAGGGATCCGCTCGCTGTGCTGGAAGGTGCGCTTCCGTCTGCCTGCAGGACGTCTTTGGGCAGAACTTGGTGCCATCAGACACCGAATTTAACAAAATCTCTATTCATGCAATTTGAAGATAAATGTAGGAATTTGAAAATGAATTTCACTAAATTGAAGCCTAAATTATTTGTCTAACAGTAGAAAAGTTAATTTACATTCTTTTACTTTCAGTTCTATAGCTCACTTTTAGTAGGAAAATTAAAAACCAGATCCTTCAACCACTGATTCAGGGATTAACATTTTACATCAGGTCACTTTAGCTTTATGGCTTTTTAAGCTGCTGTAGACGAGTCATAAACATTCTATAAATATAATGTATAAGAAATGTAAATAAAACCAAAAAGATGTAGCAGTAACCATTAACTAATGGCTAAAGAACAAAGATGCCTTGTTCTTTGTTTGCTAATCGATGCGTTGGACATCTTTTATGATCTCTACCAATTTCATAGATGCTCCAGACGCTTAAATGTGATAAAATAAGTTAAACCTGATGTAAAAAGTCTATCCATGAATCTGTGTTTGACAAGATAGAAACTGCGTTTTCTAAGAGTTGGTAAAAATAAAAAAATTTGAATGCTGCAAAATAGATTTTCAAAGCAGGTTAAATCAGTTTTTAAATAAAATTTCACTTAAGTAAAAAATTATTTTCAAACTAATTCAGTTTCTAGTAAATTTGAAGAAAACAGTTTAAGAGGAAATCAAATCCAGTTTCTGTCCAAAGACTTCCAGTTCTGCTTCTTTCTGGATTTAAAACCGTTTCTTTCATCCACACATATTAATGAGATTTCAATCAATCTGGCAAAACATTATGACCACTGACAGGTTAGAAGGGAAACTTTCTGTCCTCAGAGCAGGAAAGGATCAACTTAAGGTTCTGATGAGAACCAAACTGTTCTAGTAGGTCAGCTGGGTCAGGACATTTCCTCGGCTGCAGCTCTGTTAGATCCGTTCTTTTCAGGCAGCTGAGGCTCCTAAATGAGGTCCAAACAAGGTTCTGATCCAGTCGAAGAGCTGCTGAACAGTTTTAGGTTCTGATGGAAGCTGTCAGAACATACAGCCCAGTTTGTCATAGTGAAAAGTACCAGCGCCCCCTGGTGGCGGTAGCTTCATCCTTTGGATAACAAAGGATCTGCTGCTGATCCTTCAGAGGTCCAAAAGAGACCAGAAGGAGACGGGTGGTCATAATGTTTTCACTGACAGCTGACGTGTCGCGTGTTCAAAGTTACATACGTGATTTATTGCGTCTCGTCTCTATTTTAATCTTTTGATCTGATTAAAACCTGATTTCTGTTGGAAAGTATCACCTGGTTCTGACTCGAGCTGTTTATCGTTTATCCAGATCCTTCTCAACTATCTGCCTCTGGATCAGACCTTATGGGAGTCCTTCCTCAAAAAGCAAAGGTAGGAGAATCGAACCGAAAGAGACCTTCAGGCTGGTTCTGATCAGAACATCGGGCCTGATACACGTCCGACCAGCAGCAGCTGAATGAAACAAGGCAGAACCAAGAAGTGTTCTGTTTATTTGCTTCTATTAATAATCCGTTTTCACGGCAACCAGATTCTGTGTTGTGGATCAGCTGTTCTTTGGGCTTTTCTTGGTTCTCTCAGAGTCTGGCTGTTTTTTCTTCCAGCTGATATCAGAACCTGAGAAGTTTTGACCCTGTTTTTAGTTTTTAAACCAATAATTCTGATCCTGATGGAGCTCCCCGCCTCCAGCAGGACGGTTTCCCCGGCGGTCCAAACGGTCGCCTCCTCTGATTGTGTGCTGGTCTCTCCACAGGGAGGTCTACTCTCAGTTCCTCAGAGAAATGATCATCCAGCCGGGCATCGCCAAGGCCAACCTGGGCCTGTCCAGAGCAGACGTAACGCTGGAGGACCACGTAAGTCCCACAACCTCATGAGATTCAGCCGCTTCTGAATCAGTATAGATTAAATCATCGGATCGTATTTTGGACCCGGTTGGCGAATAAAGTTTTGCCCTGAACTCCTCTGTTGAAACATCAGTGTAGAAACCATCTGTTCTGCTGGTTCCGTCCGACTGAATCCGATTGGGAACCCAGGGCTCGATGATAACCATCGCCTGATCTCTTGGGGCAAGTAGTTTTTATTGTCGGGAGAAGAACAAATTTCATTGCATTTGGCCGTCGGGCAAGTGCACTGATCGCAAAAAAAATTATTTATCACTCAAAAATACTTTAAAATCACCGACATTCGCTGAAAACGACCCAGAAGCGTTGCCGGCGCCATCTTTGTTGTTTTGTAAACATTCTCACGTGATTTGAAAAAGCCGCGTGATTTTCTGCTAGATGGCGTGATTCAGCTCTTGGGGAGAGAATTCTGCAGAGCAGCAGCTGGATGTTGAATTTAATCTATACTATAAAACACGCTAGATTAAAAATGATCAGTCAGGGATTAGGAAAATAATAATAATTACTGTATGCACCCAGTGTAAATATTTTTATTATCTGGCAGTCTTCTGTACAGTGATGCAGGTCATACATTAAAAAATGTTCATTAAAGTTTTTCCTCTTAGACATGGAGTGGTGCATTTAAATGTTATAGAGCTAAAAATGTTAAATTGGTGAGTAGTAGTAGTGTAAGTTTTTAACCTGTCAAGTTTTTTTAGATTTTTAACATTACAATTTATATTTTTCCAAGCACACAACAGTTTAAAGCAACGTTTAGTTTGAAAAGAATGTGCAGGAAGGATTGAAAAGCATGTTAACACGGTAATGTAGGCTTCAGTTCATTATCTGACGCATGCAGATACACACCAGGAACCTGGAAACTTAAAAATGACTGAATTACAAAAAACATTTAAAAAACAAACATGTTTTATTGATATATATACAAAAATGAATATTAGGAACTATATTTATCAAACGTTATACTGGGCAAGAAAAAATTGTTTCTGGGCAAATGAAATGTGAAAGCCACTTGCCCAAAGGTCAAGTGGTAAAAATCCTTAATGTCAACCCCTGGAACCGGTTACATTTGTGAATCTACAGAACCAGAAGCTGGACGATAATGATTGGACCTGTTGTCTCTGTTTCCTGCTTCTATACTGGTTCTGAATATTCTAGATCTGGTTTTAATGTTAGTTCCAGGTGGTTCATTTGGATCAGAATCTGACAGGAATACAGATCGGTTCTGGTATCATGTATTCAGTTTTGTGAAGGGCGGTTCTGGACTTTGCTTTGGTCTTTGACAGAATTAGACGGTTATTAAAGGTCCAGTCAGTACATTTTCACCAAACGTTTATTTTCTATTATTTAAAACTGAAACAGCTTAGTGAATCTGGTTCTGACCGGCTGCAGATGTTTATACTCTGATCCTAAAGGTTCTGATAGCTGAGCTGCTTTGACTCTGCAGGTTCTGCTGGGTCAGCCAGTTCTGATGTCTGTTATCAGCCCACATGTCCTCATATTCTGTCACTGAGGGGAGAAAATAACCCAACATAATCTGTCAGTTCTGTTTCTGTTCTGGAACCACAGATCTGTTAATCTACAGTTGGTTCAGGCTGGACCAGCTGTATTTCTGGTTCTAATTTGCTTTCCTGAACCAGCCTGTGTGTGTTCTGGTAGAAAAGTCCAAATGGATTTCTCAGAACCTGGACGGTAATGAATATTTGTTTTTTTCAGCCTCTGAATCCGAACCCAGACAGCCGCTGGAACACCTACTTCAAAGATAACGAGATCTTGCTGCAGATTGACAAGGATGTGAGGTAAGAGCTTCGTCCAGGCGCTGGTTCTGTTTCATCCGGGCGATCAGAAAGGTTCTGACGATAGCTGAACAGAACGGGTCGGTTCGCTGCCTTTCCAGGCGGCTGTATCCCGACATGGCGTTCTTCCAGCGGCCCACGGAGTATCCCTGCCAGCTGATCCTGGACCCTCAGAACGACTACGAGACGCTGAGGAGACGGGTGGAGCAGACCACTCTGAAAGCCCAAACCGTGAACCGGAACCGCAGCGGAGTCACAAACGTGAGTCAGTGCAGGTGTAACTGATGTTGACCACCAGAGGGCACTGTTCACTCAATCAGGGAAGATAATCTAAGATTCATTTAAACAATTTGGATATTAAAATACAAAAATAACACAAAAACTTAATTATTAAATAAAAAACGAAAGATTACATTTATTTTATGTAAGCTTCTTTATTGTTAAAGAAACCCAAAAAACTTAATTTAATAAAATGATTTTATTTCATATATACACTTATGTATATTTGGACTTAATTGATTCAATAATTTATTTATCTTTTGTATATTAAGATATTATTATTATTTTGTATTTATGTTTGAATTTAGGAGTAAGATCAAACTAAATAATAATTAATTAATAATTGAACTTTATTGATGAAACCGTCCCCTTGATGGGATAGTGATAGAAAAAAGTGACAAAATGAGAAAAAAATAATTTTAAATTGTTTTTAAACTGTTTCTCTTTTGCATATTTTTGTATTTTCTTCTCTATGTATTATTGCTGTTGTTATTTTTATTTTATTTAATAGACTCTTGGCTTATTTAACATAAAATAGAAAGTCAAACTTTTGCAGAGAGAGAAAAAGTCAAAGGAGAACCTCTGATGGTCTTTTAGAAAACCAGTAGAACTGCGAATCTAGACCCATTTAAAAGCTTCCAGGTTCTGGTTCAGATTATTCTGGATGAGGATCAGGAGCCTTAATCTGGTCCATCCTGGATGTGGGCCTTAATCTCTGCTCCTTGTTTTAGTTTTTGTTGCACCTGTCTCTCCTCAGCTCTTCTTCATGAGGCTCCACATAGAGCAATAGAAATAGAATGCAGACATTATCTATTATTTCCACTTTCAGTTTATTTATTCCGTTCAAAAGTAACTTGAAAATTAATCTCGAAAGGAAAGAAAAGAAGCAGAGAAAACTCATATCTGCCCCTCAATTCATTTAATAACTGCATCAGTTTAGTTAATTAATCTTTTCTCAGTTCTTCACATTTACTGTAATTACATTTTATATTATTTAACAATATGCTAGATATAAAACAATCTTAAATATTTTCCCATCATTTCCATGAACTCTAACTTTCATTCTTCCCTAACTTTGTGGGTTTTTTTATTTTTTTTTTATTTGTTTTAGCCTCTTTAATTGCTTAATGAAGTCTGGTCCTTGATTTTGGTTTTCCTTTCAGATTATATCGACCTAATATTGCTAATATTTTCTCACTGGTTTTGTTGAAAGCCTGGATAGTTTAATCAGGCCCCCCCCCCCCCCCGTCCTTAAAAAGTCTTAAAAGGCATTGAATTCTTCAAAATAAAACTAAGGCCTTAATTGGTATTAAAATGTCTTAAATCAGTCTTTTGTAGGTCTTAATTTTTAAAACATCATAAATAGGATTATTTTTATTAGGATTTATTTTTGTAATCTAAATAAAATGTTAAAATTTACACATTTTTTTTATTTAAAAAAATAAATAACGATGGGAATTAAGGCAGTGGAGTCGCACATGCGAAGCACGAAACACAAAGCGTCAAAATGGAGTTACAGAGAAACAGCCGGTATTTCTCAGTTTAGTTCCACCCTTGTCTCTGCAACGCCTCCACTTATCACCAAATCAAACATACTAAGAAAACCATACAAAGAAAAATAGCTGCTAAAAAGACTTAGCACTGGTTATGTTGGGGCTTTAAAACTGATTTGTTTAGTTCCCTGCTAAAACAAAGTTTGTTAATTCAGTTAAATAATTTTTCAAATATATCTGTCATTTGTGTGTTTTTAGCTTTCTTCCTGTATGGGAAGCTTTTCAAAATTTGAAACATTATGTTCAAATAAACCTTTGGGTTAAGTTGTCGCAAGCGGGTTTTTCTTGTGTTTCTTGTGAATTTGGTCTTAAATTTTTATTTCCAGTGGCATTAAAAAGTCTTAAAAAGTCTTGAATTTAACTTTCCTTATGCTGTAGGAACCCTGTTAATAATCCGACCCATTTGCTGGTTACAGGTCAGCTCTCCTGGGAAAGCTCTGAACCTGTATCCGTCCAACGAGTACGAGGTTCTTCCTAACGGCAGTGAGGCTCACTGGGAGGTGGTGGAGCGGATCCTCTTCATCTACGCCAAACTCAACCCCGGCATCGCGTACGTTCAGGGCATGAACGAGATCGTGGGGCCCATCTACTACACGTTCGCCACGGACCTCAGCAGCCAGTGGAAAGGTGGGGAAGCTCCTCAGGCTCGCGAACGTTCGGCTATTCGAAGTTCTGGTGATGGTGACGCCGCTGTGTTCTGTCCTGCAGAGCACGCCGAGCCCGACACGTTCTTCTGTTTCACCAACCTGATGTCGGAAAACAGGGACAACTTCATCAAGAGCCTGGACGACTCCCAGTGCGGCATCACCTGCAAGATGGAGAGCGTCTACTCCATGCTGAAGGAGAAGGACCTGGAGCTGTTCCTCAAACTGGTAAAACCTGCACAGGATAAAGACCAGATGTTTGTCTCCTCAGCGCTCTGGCAGCCGATTCTCCATTTTCCACCTGATGAAATGTTTAATCTTTGCAGCATCATCCTCTCATCTTGTTTATCTGTCCTAAAACTTCTCTGACTGTATTGTTAGTTTATTACTGTTACTCTTCTTAGGTTAAAAAGGTAACGTAAAGGTACGTAAAGGTAACAAGCATATATACATCATTTAACTTACAGATGTTAGAACTTAGAAAGATATTTCAGTGAAATCTAGACATTCTATATCTGTCCACCGCCTGCGTTGCGTTTACAGATGGTTGTTTAATTTCATTTCCAAATAATCGATGCCTATACTTCTCCTCAGACGTCCTTTAAATGAAGACTTTTGTTCTATATTGATCAGTTTTAACATCAAGGCTTTCTGTTCGTTAACTGCTCTGTAAATAGATTTTTTTTTTTATGTTTGTTTTTTTCTTTTAATTTAAAGCTGACCTTCAAAGGTGGGCCTGGTAATATAGGCAAGTTTATTTATACATCATAGTTCCGTACAAAGACTAATCAAAGTGCTTTACATGAACTAAATGATGAAATAAAAGGAAATTAAAAGTAAAGATGATAAAAGTAGTTAGTGAAGCTAATAAGAGTTTAACATTTGAGCATAGCCACTTAAGACTTAGACAGAGTTATTTGTCATTTTTAAAACAAAAATAAATTAAAAATGTTCTAAATATAAATCATGTTAAATATCTGAACCTTCAGCTTCTCCAGTTTTTATATTTATAAGAGCAGTTTAGTTTTGGTCCAGATTTGGGCTGCAACAAACATTATTTTGATAATCGATGAATCTGTTGATTATTTTTTTCGATTAATAATCGGATAGCCAAACGTTCCTTAACGAGCATTTTATATACCTGGTGAAACTGAAACTTTTCAACTTGTGGAGTTCTGGATAGAGCATACTTAGAGACGAAAAATATATATATTTTTTTATCTTAAATGCAAAATATATTTACATTTTTTTCACCATTTTGGTTTATTTACTGCTCTAAGTGGGTCATTCTGTCAGATAAAAACATTTTATAGAGTCTCTATACTCCAGTTAACGATTAATCAATCACTGAATTAGTTGACGAAGATTTTAATAATAAATTAATCACGATTAATCTGATTGTTTCAGCGCTAGTCCAGATAAATTTGAGAAATTATTCCAGTTTTGAAAATCTTCTCCAAATTAGCTGGAAAGTTCTGATGACATCTTCTTAAACCTGCTAAAATTTTTCTGTATATTTTGTAATCAGTTGTGTTACTTTCCTCTGTTTAAGTTTAATTATTTAGTAAATTTAACTGTAGATTATCTTCAAGAGTTTTATTTGAGCCAAACACGAAGTTTTTTTGTTTCAGAAATAACATTTTCCTCTACACTGGAAAAAAATCGAAATCTTGATAAGTCATTTTTTCTTAAAATAAGTGAATTTTTTCTTGAATTGAGGAGGTAGAAGAGACATTTTTGCCAATGGAACAAGATTTACACTTAAAATAAGGAAACAAAATTGCATTGTCTTATTTCAAGTGCATATTATCTAATTATCTTATTTTAAGAGTAAAAATACTCAATCCATTGGCAAACTATCTTATTTACCTACTTAGAATAAGGATAAATTCATTTAATTTAAGACATTTTTACTTATTTCTAGATGGTTTTTGCAGTGTAAGATTGAAGAAGCTCTGATATGGACTCAGCAGCTGCACAGGCTGTTGCATCATCAGCATAAATGGCTCATTTAGCTTCTTCCATTATTAATGGTAGATTATTGGAAGCTAGAAACTACCATTAAAGTAGATGCAATGTGACCCTCAGCTACATAACTGCTGATCAAAGTCAATGCAGGTTTAGTTTTTCTAAAATTAAACGGATCCATTAAATCCGAGGCAGCCGGATCCTGTTAAATGAACTCTGTTCTCCATGAACGTCATGGTAACGGGTCGGTTTTTTTGTCCGTTCAGGAGGAGCAGAACATCAAGCCTCAGTACTTCACCTTCCGCTGGCTCACCCTGCTGCTGTCTCAGGAGTTCCTCCTGCCGGACGTCATCCGGATCTGGGACAGCCTGTTCTCCGACAAGGACCGCTTCCACTTCCTGCTCCTGGTCTGCTGCGCCATGCTGATGTGAGGCTCCCAGATTCTCCCGCAGGCCCGGTAACGTCCCGTTGCTTTCACTGAGTCCTGATCCGTCTCTGCTCTGTCTTCTTGTCCAGACTCATCCGGGACAACCTACTGGCCGGAGATTTCACCACCAACATGAGGTTACTGCAGGTAGGATCCTCTGGGGATGATCCACTTCTGTTCTAAACGATCAAATGGATCCATTTAGGGCTTCTGTTTAAAGTATCGAAGAATTTCTTTCCCAAAGAATAAAATTAAAATTGTTTGGGGGAGGTAAAACAAAACAAAAGCTTTAAATTAGACTCCTTTGTGCTGCATTATCATTTTTTTTTCTGCTGGCCAATGTTATTTAAAGTTTAACCTGACTGTAAAATATTATTATTATTTATTTTATTTTTTTAGCAGGAAAATGGGTTTTATTTCCCCAAAGTAACAAAAATCCAAACAATAATTAAAGGGCCCTTAAAAGAGGTCAAATGAAGGGAATAACATATCAAAACATATCAAGGTTAAACATAACAAAAACATAAAAAATACTGGCTGATCAGATCAGACTGACACACTGAGGAAGAGGTAGGGAGAACATCTACCGTACACAAATTTAACAAAAAATAAATAAACAGTTAGCTTAAGGATTAAAATTAAATTACTAATGACTAAACAATACGGGCAAATAACAAAAGCAAAAGAGAAATTCTGCAGCATATTAAAATGTAAACTCCATGATCTTCCCCCCATAGTGGAACTCCAGATGGTATCATCCAATCTATCAATCAGTCTCTAATGAGTGTGTGAGGCAGAGTCCTTTGCCTTTTCCCAGTTGAAGGTACTCTCCACACCACCACAAAAGAAGCACAAACAACATTAAGTATTTGACAAAATTGAAAATACAAAAGTTAACTAATTGTGCGAGCTACAACTAATGTGTTTTAATATTCTCAAAATAATAATAATAAACAAACCAATACATTTATGCTGCTGTGTGTTAAAACTTAAAGTGAAAAAGTGTTTGTGTGTGGAGTAACTGACCATTTGATCATCACAGTTCATATGCTACTCTAATCTGGAACAAACTCCCAGAAAACTCTAAATGTCTTGGAAACCTTAGTTGACTTAAATCCAGATTAAAAACATATTTGTTTATAGTCGCAATCTAAGCCTTGTATTTGTTTTACCATCATACACATTACTTTAATTAGTCTTTTTACAGAAATGTTTTATATAGATAATATCGCCTGTTATCGGACACTGTTTTTTTTTTTTTTTTTTTTTTTTTTACAAAAATCTAAAAGCCATATTTTCTTTTTTTTTTTTTCTTTTTTGCATCATCATTTTGAGATAAAGATAGCCCCAAACCGTGCTGAGATCAGTCTGAGCACGGTAACCTAGATAAATGTTGATTTTAAATGGCACACGCAACTGAACCAGACCGTACCAGACAAAACCGAACCGCACTAACACGGTACTAGTTCATCAGTAGGGCTCGGCAAGGTTCAGTTCTGGTTCAGTTCTCAGATAACAAAGAACGCCTGAGCAGACCGCATCATCTCCTTACAGCTTTATGAGACATTTTAATTGTGTAGAAGACGGAAACAATGGGGAATAAAGGCACAGAGGTGAGGCTATAAAAATAATAATAATAATAATGAATTTAATTTGTAACGCACTTTATATTTGAATTAAAATCTCAAAGTGCTACAGTTCAAAAAGGGATTAAAATCTAAAAATCTAGAAATCTAAAAATCAGAAATTGTAAGCATTTCTAAAAAGCAAAAGGGATTCAGGAGAGAAATAAAGGAGAAAAAGAAGGAAAGGAGGATTTAAGATGAGATCAGAGCCGATGGTCCAGAACCAAGGCGGGCCAAGACCCAACTTTTAATGAAACAGGAAAACAGGAGTTTGCCTGTTTCTCTCATATCCACACATACATGTTTGTGTTTTTATATTTTTGTCTTTTATTTATTTAAAAAAAGATATCTTTTTTTAATTTTCTGCAGGATTATCCAATCTCAGACGTTCACACCATTCTGACCAAAGCCAAAGAGCTGCAGGAGAACTCCTAACGAGATGTCCTCCTGCTGACGTCCGAACATTTCTCCTGGAAGGACACTGAGGAGCCGGGACTGTTCTTTGGGAAAACGCAGAAATCTGCTTTTTAACGGAAGGTCAAACCTTGAAGGAAACATTTGGGAGACAGAGACATCTGGTACTTCATTTGGAAAGTCTTTCTCCTTTGTCAGACATTTTATTTCCCCCATAAAATGATCAAAAACTGACATTTTTATTGATCATCTGGTGGAGAAGGGACCACAGCGACCAACACTACAGGTGTGATTGTCAGAAGACGCCCAGCGGATGGAGAGAAGAATCTGATTGGATCATCAGAGATCTTCTTTTAATTATTAATGTCGGCGTAATTTTGGCATTTTCTTCTTTTGAAGCGGGAAGCGGCATTCCTGGAACCAGGAATTCATGAGCTCCGCGTCTTCAGTGCTTCATCTGTAACCCGTCTTCAGCGAAGCTGCAGAGAGCTCTCCAGCTCAGTCATAACATCTTGATCTGTTTCTGGATATTTGAATCTGATTTAATTCTTTTATTAATCAGAACATACCTGGATTTCTGTGCAAAAGCTCATTTCCCAGTCTAAGTTCCAGTAAAACCACCAGCAGGTTGGCTGCTCCAGGCTTCAGTATGAAAGCATTTATAACCTGATGATGGAGCTCCAGGCGCCACCGGTTCCCCTACTTGCATCTAAATTTTCTCGGTGCAGACTAATTCCTGGTGAAGCACAGTAATGTTTGATATTATTTCTTTGTTTTATCTGCTGCTTCGCAGTGAACAGATTCTAGGTCGAACCCAAGTGAGCAAGAAACCGTTAAGTTATAAACCAGCCTCTCAGTTCTTCCTGAAATTCTTCCTCTGATCCAGAGTGAAACAGCTGCTGTCAGCTTTCTATCCAGTTTCAGTCCAGCACCATAGAAGGGTCCCGTCTAGAAAATGTAGTTCTCCTGTAGGAGAACGGTGTTTTAAAGTTAGATCTAGATCCTCCTCTAGATAAAGACTGTTTGATACGTTCTATAAACTTCACTTTGATACAAAACTGAGGTCTTCCTAAGTTTTTTGTTCCATTTTCTTATTGTTTTGACCTCCACTGTTAGCCATACCAGATACTAAAGAGGCTTTTCTGATTAATCTGCGGATTCAAACAAAAAAGAAAGTTGGTGTCCAACATTAACACCTTAGATGTTTGGTTGTTTTGGTTCAACGCTTCCTTCATTCTCTGAGTTACGATTATATTACTTGCATGTCTGAGTTTACAACATTTCTCTGGAAGTTTAGCCTTACTGCACTGAAACTGGGTAAAAAAGAAGCCACAGCTGTAGAAGAAGAAGTCTGGGTCTCCAGGTTCTCTAAAGGTCTGATAACGAGTAGCACAAAGCATCGAGATCGTAGGAAGGATGTTGAAAGGAAACGAGGTTCGGATTTTTGTCTGGCAATATTCAGAAACGCCTAAAAGTATCGTCTTGTTAAGATCAAAGTCTATGAAGTGTTTTGATTAAAACCTGTTTTTGATTTTTCAGAAATCTTGTAACAAAACAAAGCCAAACAGTAATTTTCCTTTGATAAACATCAGGTCAGTTTCAGAAATCCCCCCAATGACCTTAAACCTTTTATTGTTTTTATGACACTAAATACATCATCAACCATTTAGCTGAAACAATGTTTTATTTCATATGAACAAATGAAGAATTTTAAAGGGTTGGAGCTGACTAAACCTCTGACTGAAGGATCATCCAAGTAGTCCACAAGTATATCAATGACGTATTACCAGAGCCAGATTCCACAAAATGTACAGTTTCTTAAAAAAGCCACAAGATTGTATTGATTGAAGTGCAATCTAAAGTTTGGCCACCTGATGGCTCCACTTAAGCAGAATTTCTGAGAATTTTTGTTGTTGTTTTTTGCCTTCTAAATCAGAGTATTTGGTTCTGGTTTGAAGGTGATAACCTGTCTGGTTCTCTCCAACATCTGGATCTCTGAGTTTCAGGCAGTCGGCACAGTTATACACGTAATGATGAGTGTCAACGTCTTGATCATCCTACGAAATAAAACCACAGAAATCATGTCAAGAAAATCTCGTTCCCATGATCCTCTAAGTTGGAGACTTTGAGATGCCAAAAAATTGTGTTCAAGAAATGGAAACCAGATTCAGCTTAGATCCAGACACCAATAACTTTGTTTTTGCAAATGTTTGCAGGATACACTTTTTTTTTTCCTTTCTTTGCAAAATTGTAGAAATTTGAAGCTTTTTGTTTTTATATTTTTGTTATTGCACTTATTTGGGGAAAATCTTTGATCTAATCTACCATAAAAACTTCCTGCAGTGATCATAAAAAGTTCAACACCATCTCAGCTGTTTTTTTTTTTTTATGTTTAATACTAATTAAAATGTGTAACATTAAGACCAAAATAGACACAGTGAAGGTATTTTTTTTATTGTGCACAAAGGTTTTTACTTTGAGGGATTGTTACTAACGACCTCATCAGTTTAAGGTATTTATTTCTTTTTAGACGGTTTCTGTGTTTGATGATTGTTGAATAAAATTCTTCTTAGTCCCATTTTTTTTTGCATGAATTACATTTTGTAAACTCAGATGCTTTTTTGTAAAGTTCTCCAGTCGTTTTTACATGTTTGCAGATGTGAATTAAACAATAGGACAGTGTCTCCTGATTCATGCAATGGGTCCTAAATTGGTTTGATATTCCATGAACAGGTTCAGGTACTTTTTCAATGTTGCAGTCTTGTTTAAAACAACAGAAATAACCATGTCATATCGGGAGAACGCAGATCTAAGGCAAAAATTCCAGTTCTTTTCTGATTTATGATGACTGTTAATTGAGTATGAATGTTGACTTTATGTGCTAAGACGGTTCTGATATGTCAAATAAAGAGCAAGCAAGGGCCTTGCTATGCACATATCGGAGACTGACATGGCAGCAGGAAAAATATAAACACCATAAATGAGTTAGAGCGCCTTGAAGAACCAAAAATGAAGCAATTTTCTGAAAAGGCTGAAAAACTTTCCCTTTTCTGAACAGGGGCATTAGAGTAACTGAGACAAATTGATTTAAACAGGGTTTTTTGGGTCAAAAAAAATTAGAATACAGGAAAAAAAAAAAGAATTTTGATTTCAGAAATTTCCCTTTTTTAAAAAAGGAAACTTGTATATTTTTATTCATAAAATTAAACTCCCAAAACCTCATATATTTCGGGATTTTATTTTGAAAAATTTTTTGTTAAATTAAAAATACAAAAAATGAAAATCTCAAATTAAATCAAAACCCGAAAATTAAAATTTTTTACGGGAAGGGACCAAAAAAAAACCCCCAAAGGGATTTAAAAAAAAATTTTTGGCCCAAACTAAAAAAAGTTAAAACATGAAAAGTAAAACCTTTGTACACACTCGGGATTTTAGTTGGGCCCCCTTTTGGCCTTATTACGGCAGCAATGGGGCGTGGCAGGGAGTCGATCAGTTGTGGCACGCTCGGGTGTTATGATGGGCCCAGGTTCTCAAAATGGGTGGCTTTTAGCTTTTTTCTAAAATTTTTGGGGGTTTTGGTGATTGCATCTTTTTTTCCCTTCAAAAAATACCCCATAGATTTTCTTTTGGGGTTTAAAGGGTCAGGAAGTTTGCGGGCCCCCCAATTAAAAAAAACAGGGATACCATGGCCCTTAAAACCGGGTTTACTGGTAGCTTTGGCACTGTGTGCAGGTCCCCAAGTCCTGTTGGAAAAATTGAAATCGGGCATCTCCCAAAAAATTGGTCAGCTGCAGGAAGAAAGAAGTGCCAAAAAATTTCCCCTTGGTATTTTGGTTTGCGTTGCCCCCGGGGACCTCAAAAAAACACAATGGCCCCAACACCACAGAGGGACGGGCCCCCCCAAACCCCAATCACGACTGTGGAAAATTTCCCGGGAACTTCAAAAAAAACCCGGGGATGAAGTGCCTCACTTTTTTTTTTCCTCCGACTCTGGGCCTTGTTTTTCCAAAAAGGAAATTGAAAAATTTTAATTTTTAAGCGGAAAAACCATGATTTTGGGCCCCCTCACCAGCAGTCCATTCCTGTTTTCTTTAGCCCAGGCAAACCTTCGGGACCCCTGTCTGTGGTTCAAGAGTGGCTTGACAAAAAGGAAGGGCGAAGCAAAAAACCCATGCCCTTTCATAGTCGGGTGTGTGGGGTTCTTAAAAGGCATCACTCCAGCTGCATTTCCACTCTTTGTAAAATCCCCCCCAAACATTTTTGAAGGGGTTTTTTTTCCCACAACCTCCCGGGTGGGGTTTTATTTTCTCTTGCTTTTTACTTTTTTTTTTTGGGACCACATTTTTTCCTTCCCTTCCCCTCTCTATTAATTTGTGTTTGGGGAAAATGAGCTTTTGTGAAACAGCCGGGCCTCTTTAGCGAGGGCCCTTTTTGGGGGTTTCCCCTCCTGTGAAAGGTGTCGAGGGTTTGGGTCTTTTGGACAATTTGTCAAGTCAGCATTTCTTCCCATAAATTTTTTAAACCCCTATAGAACTGAAAGACCATTTAAAAGGGTTTTGCAGGTGGTTTAGTTAATTTGGTGGATTAGAGTGTGGCACCAGGGGGCCCTCAATTTTTTTAAACCTTTTCAAAAATATTCTAATTTTCTGATATGGGTGAAAATTTTAGATTTTTCATTTGTTTTCATTTGTAATCCCCAAAAAAATTAAACAAAAAAAAACATTGAAAAAAAATGGTTTGTTTTTTAAAATTAAAGGAAAAAAATTTAAACCCTTTTCCCCCCTTTTTAAAAAAGGGAATTACTGAAATTCCCTTCCCACTTTTTTCCAAGAATTCTAAATTTTATGACCAGCACCTGTACATACATGCGTTGAACTGTATATTAAAGTAAAAAATTTTTACGAAAGGGCCCCAACCCCCAAAGGAATTGTGGGTGGTCTTGTTCAAAAAGAAAATTCCAAATTCCGCTGACATATAGGTTTCCCCCCAGAATTTGGGGCCCCCTATTAAACTTTGTTTAAGTCGAGCAAAGGATAAAGGAAAAAGTTTTAAAAAATTTTCTGAGGCCCATAAAAGTTTAAATAAACCGGGGTTTAGGAAAAAATGGGTGTGCCAAAACCCCTTACACATCTAAGAGTACAGGCCCAACAGCGAAAAACTGGATTTTTGGGGTTAAGGACAATTAGTTTGCAGTCAGTAAAGTTTGTGGGGCCCAGGGTTTCCATTGAAAACCCCTTTGCTTGGGATTTACCCCAGATGGGGACCTTTTAAAACCCCCAAATCCCCCGGCTTTAGGAGGTCGTTTCCTTATCCCATTAGGCCGCTGGGGCAGTTTAAAGAAGATTTTTTCCCATCAGGTGAAAAAAAAACCCCCCTACGTGTAATTTTTCCTGGGAACAATGAGTCCACCGCCCGAAAAAAAAAGGGGGGCACCCGTGAGGGGGGGGGCCCCCGCCCCCCCCACCCCCTTTTGGGGGTTTTTTGCCCCCCCCCCCTAATGCAGCGCTAGCTTCACAACTTAAGGGTGTGACTTTGACCCACAAAATTTGGGATTTGTTTTTTGCTTTTTAAAAGGGGGAAAATTCATTCGCCCCTCCCTTACAACCCGGGGGGCCCATGGTCAAGGGGGGGTTTGGCCCCGGGGGGTAAAGGGAAAATTTTTTCTCCCCTAAAGGAAAAAACCAAAGTTTTTTGGACGAAAAACCGCCAAAAAAAGTTTTCCCCTTTTTCTGGGAAATCCTCCCTTTTGGGGGGGGCCCCCTTTCTTTTTAAAAGGGCCTCTGGGGCCCCCAAAAATCACCCAAGTTTTTCCATTTCCTTGGAAAAATTTTGGAAAGGCCCCTTTAAAAATCCCCTTTCTTGATGGTTTTTAAAATTTTAAAAGAAGGGGAAAAAAGGGTTCAGGCAAAAATTCCCCCCCATTTGGTTTTAAAAAACCAATTTCAAAATTCCCTTTTGGAAAAAAACTTTGACTAAATGCAAGGGCCTTTTGGTAAAAACTCCAAAAAAAAAAAAGGGAGCCCTTTTCCTTTTTAATTAAAATTTTGGCGTTTAAGGGGAATTTTCAACCTTTTTTTTCACTGAAAGGCCTTTCCCCAACTTTTTTGTTTTTTAAATTAAAAATCACCCCCAAATAAAAAATTTTTATATGGGAATGGGTGTTGGGGAAGTCAAGTACAAGCAAAGAAAGTTTCCCTTAAACACAGGTTTTTGGGGGGGAAATGTTAATTTTTTATTTCCTTTTCCATGAAAAAATGGCTTAAAAAAATTTTTCCTTAAGTTAAAAAAAGGAACTTTTGAATTTGGGGGGTTAAAGGATTTTGGGGGGTGTTTGGGCCATTTGTAAGGGGGCAAGGGTGAAAAAATTTTCACACCTTTTACCCCAGGTTTTGAAAAGGAAAGTTTTAAAAATTTAATCACAAAAAAAAAAGTTTGGGGAGAGTTTAGGCCACAAGGGGAAAAACCAGGAAATTCCTTGTTAAAAAAAGCAAAAAATTTTTTAGCAGAAAAGGGGGGGCGGTCCCCACAAAACCTTTTGGTGTTTAAAGGCCCACCAAAATTTTCCCCCCAAAAATTTAAGGCTTTTTTAAACCCCGTGTTTCCCTTTTAAGTTTTTTTTCAAAAGGACCAAATAACTTTAAAAATTTTTTTTGGCCTTTTTTTGGGAATTTTGTTTTTCCATAATCCCAAAAAAGATTAAAAAAAATTCCCTTTTTTAAAAAAAAATTTTAAAAGTTTTTGGAAAAAATTTTTTGGAGAAAACCCATTAAAAAAAAACCCCCTTTTTCTTCCCCCAAAAAAAAAAAACCCCCCCCCCCCCCCCCCCCCCCCCCCCCCCCCCAAACCCCCCCCCCCAAACCCCCCCCCCCCCCCCCCCCCCCCCCCCAAAAACCCCCCCCCCCCCCCCCCAACCCCCCCCCCCCCCCCCCCTTCCCACAGGACCCCTTTTTCGAATTCCTTTTTTTTGCCCAAAACCTTGTTCTTTTGGGGGGGAAAAAAGGAAAAATTTCCTGGCTTTAAACCCCCTTTTTTCCCTTTTTTTTTCCTTAAATTTTTTTTTTTGGGGCCTTTAACCCCTCCAAAATGGGAAGTTTTTCCAAGAGGCTTAAAGAAGGGGAATTTTGGGGCCAAAACCCAAAAATCCCAAAATTTAGAAAACAATGGGCCCAAAAGGAAATGGGAAAAAGGGTTTTTAAAAACCCCCCATTCCAATTTACCCCCCCCCCGGGCCCCCCCCGAAATGGGGTTGAAAAAAGGGAAAAAAAAGCTTAAAAAATTTTTAAACCCACAACAAAAGGGTTTTTGAAAAATTTTTGCCCAAAAGGAGAAAAAGGAAACCCAGGGGTCCTTTGTTGCAAATGCCCCTTTTTTCAAGGCAAAAAAAAGGGTTTTTGGGGGGTTTCGGGTTTTTCCAACCCCGGGCCTCTTTGGGGTTATGGGGGGCCCGGGACGGTTTCCCCAGCCCCACCTTTTTCTTTGGACGTGTCTCATTTTCAAAAAGGGAGCCCATACTTTGTTTTGGGGTTGGTTTTTTTTATGCCATAAAACCATGATATCAATTCATTTGAAATTTTTTTTTTTTGAACATTTGTGGAAAAAAAGAAACCCCCCCCCGTTTAAACCCCTTTTTTTCCCCCCCCCCCCCCCCCCCCCCCCCCCCCCCCCAAAAACCAAAACCCCCCCAAGGGGGCCAAAC